AACCCACTGGGGTTTGCCCGGTTTTTGCCAGGGAGCTTCGACCCCGCAGGGCCAGGGCCAGAGCCCTCTGTCCACCTAGCCCTGGCGGGGTGTGGCCACTCCCCCTCTCTGCTTCCCTCTTCTCCTTTGTCCTGCCGTCCTGCCGGCGCTCGCTGGGCAGCGCCCAGAGCTCCCTTTCAGAGGGAGGGGCGGAGTGGCCAGCACGCCACACAGCAGCCGGGGCACTGCGCTGAGCAAGGCCGCCGACCTGCGCGGATCCGGGCGCCACAGCAGGCTGTCCCGCCCGCCACCCTGCCCACCGGCCCTGCAGGCCTGCTGGGAAACCTGGGCCAGGAGGACATGCGTGCGCCCAGGGGGCAGTGAAGCAACGATCCACCTCCACCTGCGTCTCTCACCCCTCCAGGACACTCACCGGTTTATGAGGGGGAGAGGGAGGAAATGACATGTGGGTGCACCCTGCCTGCTCACCTGCCTGCTCACCTGCCTGCTCACCTGTGTACATGTGACCTGTGCAATGTTCCGCGTGTGGTAGCTGTGATGACATCACTGTATCACATTATGGGCGAGATTCATCTTCCTGAAGCCCAGAATGAGGGGGACAGGACCGCAGCTGTGAGGGGCTGTGAGCCCCACCTCGCCCTGGGCGTCCCGCGCAGGCACCCCCACATGCTGACCCGCAGCCGCTCGTCATGGGTGGCGCTGTCCATCGGGAAGTGAAGAGATGCAGGTCAACGGTTTCAGCGCTGATTTTGCCCCACTGTTGCCCAGGGGGGCCAGATCCGAGGCTCCCCACCCCCAGCCACAGCCCCTCGGGGCACCTGCACCTTCAGCGCGGAGACACCGACTACGTGCGCGCCTTCCTGAGGTGCCGAAGAGCTGGCCCCAGCCCTGCCAGCAGCATCCTGGGGTCTCTCCGCTGCCTCCCCGCTCTACAGAAATACATGTTCGGGGCTTGAATTGGCCCAGGGGCGACCCAGACTGCATTTGAGCCCCCGCTGCAGCTCCGAGCCCCGAGCCCGCACGGCCATGCCCGCCGCCCGGTGGAACAAGGCGCCGAGAAAGCAGAAGTCCCTGGGCAGGGAGGAAAAGGGGTGCCTGTGGCCTCAGAGAAGGGTGTAGCAGAAGGCCAAGCTGACGCTGAGCTGCTCATCTGAGTCCCCCAAATCCCAGGCCCCCGCCTCCCACCAGGCTGAGTGTGTCCGACTCGGATGACATCAAGTGTCATTGGCGTCCCCAGACCAGCACTAAGGGCCTCCCAGGCCGTCCCGCAGAGGCGCCTTCCCCCCACCCCACCCCACCCACCCCCCTCCCGCCGGAGCAGCCGCTTCCTGGCTCCTGACAGTCTCCTCCTTGGGGGCCATAGTCTCCTCCTTGCCATGAGCCTGTCACGCAGGGGAGCAGCCCTTCCACGTGTCGGTCAGCGCAGCCTCGTCCCTCCCGGCACGGAGCCCCGCTCCCGGGGATGTGGGGGGCAAAACCGGCCAAGGCCACCCCGCCTGTTAACGCCCCAGTTAATTGGGCTCCTTGGGGCCTCTGAGTAGCTCCTCCAGGTTTGCAGGGTGGGAGGCCTGCAAGTTCGGGCAGCCAGGGCTCTCGGGGCAACCCTGCAGGAGGGCCCTCAAACACTGGGGCACTTGTAGGACAAAAGAAACAGGCCCGAGGGCCCCCAAAGACCCCGCCACGGGCTGCAGGTCACCACAGCAGGCACAGAGCCCTCCACAAAGGTGCTCGCAGGGCCGGGGTGGGGGATGGCTGCGGCCCAGCGCGGCTACACAGCTGGGTAGCCTGGAACAGCCGGGTGCTCTCCCCTGCGGTGACTCACCTGAGAGCAGGCCCACTGGGGCCTGGGGTGGAGGGCAGAGGGCGTGAGTGTGGGGAGGAGACTCCCCCGCCCACTGCCCGGGGGAACCCCTGCTCCCACTGGGCAGGTTTAGGACTTGCCGCAGAATGTTGGAGAAGCAGTAAAAAGCAATAGGAAAGTGGGCGCATCCGGGGAATTCTAAGGCTCCTTCGGCCGAAGATGGCTGCCTCCGGCTCTCTGCTGCAGCTGCGGCCCTGCGGCCCCCCTGGGTCTCCCCCGGTCTGCACCAGGCCCTCGCTGGACCAGCCCTCCAGGCTGGGCTACAAAGACGTTCCATGGAACACGTGCTACACCGGACCGCCTCAGGGGCGCCCCGGGAACATGGCACCCCCACCACCCGTGCACTCCGCTCAGACTCACGGGCCCAGCAACAAACAAACTTGGTTCTCCCGGAGCCCTAGGACTGGAAGCCCGCCCAAAGCTGCAGGACAAGGGGGTCCAGCCATGTGGGGGGCACAGCCCCAGAGAGGCCCGCGTTTCCAGAGAGCCGCTGCTGGGGCGGGGGCGCTGAGCCGGGCCAGGGGTCACTCCGGGCGCCTGGGCGGTGCGGAAGCTGCCCTGGGCGGGCCCCGGGACTCCTGGTGCTGTCCCCGAGGTGACGCAGGACGCTCTGGCCCGTGTCAGCTCAAGCAGACTTCTGGAAAGAGGACAGCAGGAGACAAGCACACACGCTGGCCCCGGATCTCGGGCGGGCGGAGAAACGCCCCAGCTGGGCACGCAGGGGCTGCGCTCGGAGGGCGGCACCCTGCGCCGCTTTGTCCGAGCAGGTGGGAGCCACGGACGGGCGGTCCGTGGACCAACAGCGCCGCCCAGTGGCTGAGGGAACCCGCCGCTGCGCTCTCAACCCAGCCGCGCACACAGTCCAGCAGCAGGACGTGTCCTTGTCCCTGGGCGGGACGGCCGCACCTGCCTGCGTCGTGAGAGGCGTATCGCAGCCTCTAGAAACTTGCAGCCCACGGAGATCCCCCCAGAAGCAACTCCTCAGAAAGGAACAGAAAATAATGGGCGCCTTCAACACGCTACCCCAGGCTCCCGGCACCAGCCGGGGGCTCAGGGGAAAGAGGGGACTGGCCGGGGCACGGGCCTGTGACTGGCCGCCGTGGCCGCCACAGCTCCCCTGGCAGTCCATCCCCCTCACAACGGGGGTGCGCTCCTGGCCCCCTTGGTCATTCCCCCTCCACTCCACGAGCAGGTGGTCACTTTCATGATGGTAGCCAATGTGGGGGGTCCAGGACCCCAGGAGAAGGGGCTGAGGGCCTGGTCTCCCCGTGGAGGTCAGCTGGCTCCCTGGCCAGTCGCTGAGGCCCCGCGAGTGAGCATCTCACTGTCAGAAGAAACCCCCGCCCTGAGCAGTGGACAGAAGCTCTGCCCTTTCTGTGGAGCCTCCGGGCAGCAGGGGAGCTCTGCCCGCCTCCCGCCTGGTGACCACCCGCTGTGCAAGGGGGGGGCACTGGACCCTCAAGGCATCTCCTAGCTGGGCCTGTCCTGCTCCTGCAGATCCCCCCCAGGCCACCCAGCAGGGGCAGAGAGGCCTGAGGGGCAGTTGCGTCCACCCTACCCGTGGGGACTCCGTGCCCAGCAGCACAGGTGCGGGCTGCCTGGACCCTCACAGCCCGGACCCTACCCCCAGAGGAAGAGGCAGAGAGAGGAGGGAGCCCAGCTTTCTGCGATTATGAGGATGACAAGGTCGCAGAGCCTCCTGATGGGCCAACTCCCACAGAGCTCACACTGGAATGAGCAGGGGTCAGTGGTCACAGGCCTGCCAGGGAGGTCACGCCCTGCAGCAGCAGCTCCCTCTGCATGCAGCCGTGGCCGTGAGCAGAGAGAATGGACGCTCCTTTCGGGTCTGGGATATGTAACCGGGCCTCTGTCCTGCAGGGAGGGGCCTCGGCCGGGAGCACAGGCAGGTCACAGGCTAATGTGCGGGTCACCCCACCCGCTCACAGCCGGGGGCCTGGGAGGGGGCTGGGGCCTGCCAGGACTGGGGGTGCACACAGCTGCCTCTGCACGCAGCAGGCGTGCCCGAAGGTGGGTCCCTCGGCCGAGACTTGCCTCCTGCTCTCTGACGCAGGTTTCTGCATCAGCACGTGCCCAGCGGGAGGGGCGTCCAGGCTTCCATTTCAGCTCACGGTTCTCTCCTCCCATCGCTCTTGCTGCCGAGTCTCCTTGGGCCACGGCCTGGGTTTGGGACGTGAGCAGGTGGGAGCAGCTCTGCACCCCGCGGCAGGGCGTTCAGCTACGCTGGCCGGAACCCCCAAGCCAGAGTCCAGGTGGCAGCAGACAGCCCGAGGCCAGGCAGCCCCGACTCTGAGTTCAGCCCAAAAGAGGCCCTGGTGTGCGGCTTACTCTGAGAGGCCCTCGGATTTTAACCGTTTCACTTCGGGGAACACTGAGCACGCCCCCAAAGGACATGGACATGGCCCAGAATGGCCGGTATCCAAAGGGACTGCCTGGAGGGGGCTGCAGGACTGAGAGGCGCGTCCAGGCCGTGGGGCGAGCTCTCTCTGCGGGTATCCCATTTCCTTTGACCCTGGATTTCAAGCCCAGACGCAGTGGAGGACAAGTCTGACCCTGAGCTAGACCTTGACACCGCCAACGCCCTGTGTCTGACTCTGCTCTGGCCCCGGAGCCATTACCCGAGTCATGCACAGCGACCACCCCGGCAGGGCTACCAAGAGCCATGTTTTTTCTCACTTTATAACCAAAGACACCTGCCAAAATGGAGTGGCGCGAGGGCCAGCACCGCCCGGGGCTCCTGGGCGCCCCAAACGCCGGAGAAGAGTGGTTCTCGCTTTAAACCACTCCGGCCCAGGCCCAGGTTACCGCCGGCCCCTGGAGGGTCGGGCCAAGCACGGAGAATGAGGACCCAGGCATGCGTGTGGGCCTCAGAGTCCTCTGCACGGGGCCCCAGTGTGTGTGTGTCACGGAGACAGCAGGTGTGCACAGACGTGGCACGTGCCTGTGCCTGTGCGTGTGACACATGTGACTGTCAGGAGGCCCGCGGGGCACTCCAGCGGGAGACAGCACAGGCGCAGGGCCAGTTCCTCAGGACGGCCTGCGCCAGCCGGCAGCACCGTGGGGCCAGCACCCGCCCGCCCTCCCAGCCCGACACCAGGGGACAGAGGACGGAATCCGGGGGAAATGTAATTTAATCATCTCTTAAAAACACTCTGTCTGGCCACCAAAATATGAAATCCGCAGTTTCCACACTTGACTAGCAAGTCTGCCGCCAGCAGGACGCCCGCCTGCCCGCCTGCCCGTGCCCCTCCAGCGCGTGTCTCAGTGGGCCTGCTGCTCAGTCTGCGCGCCCCTGCTCTCCCGTTTCTGCGGTGATTGTTTGGGGGGTGGGCCTTCAGGGGATGCTTTCTTGCCGGGTCTCCGCTCCCAGGACGGCCGCCCTGCAGGCGGCGGCTCCAGCAGCTGGCGTGCCTCAGGGTCTTCCTGGGCTTGCCTGGGTGCAGGGTCTTCTTGCGCCGGGTCTTCCCTCGGTGGCTCTGCTGGGCCCCCCAGCCTCCCCGGGGCAGCTGCCAGGGCGGGGGTGGAGCTGGCGTGTTTTAGGCCGTGTTGTTCTTTTTCTTGTTTGCAGCAAACAAAACAGAACAAAGTCACCGGTAAGCACAGCGGCCTCCGAGCCGCAAGAGATCAACCATAAAACGGCCGACACTGCTACCGCAGCACCGATCCACCTTCATGGTAATAAATACAACTGACAACCTTCCGTGGGCGCCGCGTGACGGGCTCCTGCGCACCGCCCTCAGTCTCAGCTAGACAGTCACGTGTCACTGAGCCGCGTGTGGTCAGGAGCATCATGGGGGCATGATTGGGCACAGCCCCTGACACGCCAGTGCACCCCGAGCCTCCAGCACATGCGCAGACCCCAGGGCCCGCCACGACGTGCCACCAGATGCCCTGCGCACACTGCCAGGGTGGCCCCGCCAGGGCCAGGGGCCGAGGCGCCCACACAAGCTGCCGTCTGCCGTGCCCAGCCGGCCTGAACTGCTCCCTGCAGCAGCTCATGGCTGCGGGCTCCACACCGCCCGCGTCAAGGAGTGATGGGGTGAGCCCAGCTCCTCCGCCTGGTCCATCACAAACTTGGCAAGTGACCGCCCCTCCCGGGAGTCACTCCTCAGAGCAGGCGCGGAGCACGGCTGGCGCAGGCTGCAGCGGGAAGGGCAGGAAGGGCCAGCAGCCACCACCATGTGGGCCAGGCCTGGGGTTCCTGCACCCCACAGCTCGCAGGGCCAGGGGCCGCACTCGAGGAGGACAGCTGCCCCAAAGTGCCCGGACCGTGTGCTCACCGGGTGGGCAGGGGCCCCGAGAGCCCCCAGGAAGCCCTGCCCACCCCCTGCCAGAGCATATAGGTGACCCTGCCGCGAGGCAGGGCCTGCGTTCCCCTCCTTGGGGCCTCTTAAGGCCCCGCTCAGCAGAGCTGGGAGGGTCAGGGGATGTCCATGAACAGGAGCACAAGGGACCGAGGCGGGGAGGGCAGCAGCCCTGGCCCCGCACACAAGCAGAGCTGTGCTGCCCAGCGCGGGGGCGAGCGGCCGGCACCTGCAGCGCGCGCTCACCTGAGCACGGTGGGCAGCCACGCGTGGCTGTGTTCATGCAAAATCAGACATTGTGAAACCCCGCATTCTCCTACATCATCCAGGCCCGGCCTGGACCCACAGCCCGGGGCCTGCCTGCGGCTGACATCTCCCTGTCTGCAGGGTCCGTGTCCGTCCGCTCTCCCGCCCAGAGCCTGCACTTCGGATCACAGCTCCACGACCTCTGTTACTTTCTCTCTCTACCTGGTTTGTCGGGCTGTGTTTTCTGTAACGGCGCCCTATTATGAGCAGAAACGCCACAAAACCTGAATGATTGTGCAGCTGACCCAAGAGAACTGCCTGAGCTCAATGGCCCCAAGCACCCGGGCACTGGCGGGAGCCGAGCCCTCGGGCCGGCCGCATGTCCAGCCGCGGGGAGCAGGCGCCAGGGCGCAGCCAGGAAGAAAAGTACAAGGAAGGCTGCCTGGCGGGGGTGCTCTGGACACCTGGGTCAGTGAGGGGCCCCCAGGACATCACAACAGGGTCACCCAGAAATGGCCAGCCCTCCGTGCACACGCCTCCCCATGGCCATCGGTCACTTGTCTCTTACCAGGAAGCGAAACCAGTTTCTTATTCTTGCTGAGGTTGACAGTTGCTAGGAAAAGAAAAAGAAAAAAAATCCAGACATTAATAGACCAGCCAAGGCCTCAAACGCCACGAGAACTCCCGGATGGAGGCCAGGCCAGCTCCGGTCAGAGCATCCCGGGCCTCCTGGACATGAGCTGGGCCAACACACGCTGGGGCTGGGACTCCGGGACAGCAGAGTCTCTGCCTCGACCCCTCCCTCCGTGAGACGCGTGCCTGACCGTGGGCCTCGTCTCAGCCTTGCCTCAGCCCCGAGGACAACACATGTCCAGCCCCAACGGGAGGCCACAGCCCAGCACGGGGTCTCCAGAAAGCGGGGCCAGCTGGCCTGCACAGCAGCTGCTTTGCGACATCCTCAGCCACAAAATCCGTGGAAGCAGAACAGTCGCCCGACACCAAGCCCCAGCACCACCGCCCTGGCGCCCTCGCGCAGCTGGGTCGGGAGGCCGGGCCAGGCTCTCGCCTGATCACCCGCTACCTCACCATCCACAACCTGACCATCTGTGACCTGACCTCCTGCAGCTTTCAGTACTTTTTTTTAGATTGAATTTTTATTTTACTTCATTCATTTTTATATTTCTGAACGTCTTTGTCTTGTTTTCACAATGTATGTTTCTCCCCTCAGCATGTCACCTCGTTTTCCCACCGAGCACCCACCGTGCCCTGCCCCGTTCCTGCTGTCCCTCCCCCACCCAATCAGAGGTGCCCCACGGAGCTGAACAGGTGCGTCTCCAAAGAAAGCCTGTGACGCCGAGGAATGTGCTCACCGCGGCCACGGGGTGGGGGTGGGTAGGGGAGATGTCAGGGCCATGGGGAGACACCCCAAGCCTGGGAGGCCGCCCAGCCCCAAAGACCACAACCAGCGAGGGCTGGCGGCTGGAGCAGGGGCCGCACTGCCGTGGGAGGGACCTGCAGCCCCGGAGAGGTGGGTAGAGCATCCCCAGGGACTAGCGGTGACCGGGGTCCCAGGGCTCTGTGGCAGCCTCTGGCCGGGAGGGACTACCCGGGGGCAGTCAGCGCTGCTTTGCCTCCTTAGCACAGAGGTTTCTGCTGCCGAGCACCTCAGTTCAACTGGACTCAGGAGCCAGGGCAGGGCTGGCTGCTCTGGGGGCCGGGCAAGGCTGCAGGGTCGGGAAAGTGCTAGAGCTGCAGGCACAGGGAGGCCCGAGGAGCCATAAGGGCAAGTGCTGGTGCACGGTGAGGGCTGCCCAGTCCCGGGGGCCTGGACATAGGAGCTGGCCGAGAAGGGGGCAAGCGTGTCCAGGAGCAGGTCTCTGGAGCCGCCTTTTCCGTTGATGACGCCACCCAAGGAGCAGGCAGTGGCAGGGCCTGCAGGGCCTGGAACTCCACGGCCAGCCTCACTCATGACCCACTCACACTGAGGCCTGCGGGCTGCTCGGCATCGCCCTGCGGACGATCACGGGGACCAGCTCCCGAGGGCGCCAGCTGCACCCCCTGACAGGAAGGGCCGGGCCCCGTAAGGGTGGGGGCGGCAGGGCCAGTGCTCTGCACCCAGACACCCACCACCTCGCTCGGGGCCCTCTGACGAAAATCGCAAGCACACGGGACGGGCGGCTCAGGCAGGCAGGCCCTGCACGCAGAGGGCAGCACTGGCCCAGCCCGTGGTCATGCAGTCCAGGGAGGCCCTTGGGAAGCAGAGCAAGCCCAGGCGTGCTTTGAACTAAAAATGTGTCCATCAAAAAGCCCGCGGCCACGAACGTGTCCTCCCACCTTGCAAGCCCCAGTGGCCTGCGGGACCCAGACTGTCACCTCCTGTTCGGAGCTCTCCGGGTGACACGCAGGGACCGGTCACCGCCAAGCCAGCCCGATTCATGGTCATAAAAAATGTCACATTCTTTTTTTTTTTTTTTTTTTGCTTTTAGCAATCCCTTGGTCACCCCTTGACTGAAACCACAGCAAAGCTGGAAACACCTCCAATGAACACACAGGGGGAGAGCTTCTGGCCTGGACGCCCTGGGCCTGGCCCTCGGCCTGCTGTCAGAGGCACTGAGGCCAGCGGGGCCTGGCCCGGCCCGGACCCTGGGAAGGAGGCTGAAGACCACAGTGGGGAGCAGGCCCTCCTCTGCTTCTCTTGTTCCTGCTCTTTGAGCTTCTCTCCACTGCCCTGCTCGCAAAAGCAGCCAAAATCACTGCAATAAAACAGCTAGAAATTACTCCAGGGAGAAAACGTCCCCTCTTGCATAAACTGTAGGGACTTAAAATTGCCTCATCTTCCCAGAAAAATGAAGCTTTTGTGCTCGCAGTGTCACAGGCAAGGCAGGGCTGCAAAGCAAACGTGCAGAAGCCACAGCAGCAACCCCGGGGCTTCCAGCTCTGGCACTGGGTGAGGTGTGAGTAGTGTGGGGAGCCCCCCATCCCGGCTCCCCGTGACTCCCGCAGCCGCGTGGGCTAAGGCCTCAGGGCGCCAGCTGAGCCTGTCTCAACGAGGCTAGAGCTGAGCACAGGCCGTGCAGCACTTGGAGAGCACCCGGGGTGTCGTGAAATCACTCAGCCCCTCCTTGCTGCCCTGCTGACCAGCTCCCGCTGGCCTGAGGCCCACAGCTGGCACCGGGACGGAGGGCAGGGAAGCAGGTTTGCTCTGTCTCTCCTGGTATCTCTGTCCCCACGAGCAGGACAGGCTTCTGCTCGGACACGCCCCCCCCACCCTCACCTCACCCCCACCACCCCCCCTCCCCCCGTCACCCGGCGCTGACAAGGGCCTGGGAAGCCCCAGGACACCTGGAGGCACCAGCCTGCACTCGTGTCTGCTGCAGCAGGCGGGTCACAGACTTCCACATACTGAAGCCTCAATAACCCTTAGAATGTAATGGGATTTTTTTTTTTAGAGATTTATTCATTCATGCATACTAGAACCGGGGTACAGGTCAGACGCGCAGGAGGGTGAGAGGATTCACCAGAGACAGGGTGAGCAACAGAACAGGCAGACGGACCGCAACACTGCTGAGGGGAGACAGGAGAGGTCTGCGCGCCATGTGGGAGTCTCATCGGCGGGCCGGGATCAAACCCGCGCTCAGAGGCTGCGGACAGCCTCACAGCGCTGTGCTCAACCGCCTGCACCACCAGGGAGGCCCTATAATGGGATTTTTAATACACTCAAGACCTTGACCCCCAGGAAAGGGCAGAAGAGGGGGAATTACCGCCCGAGTCTGTCCTTCCACTCCCCCCGGATGGCAGGACAGCTCGGGAAGCAGGGCTCCCGCAGGGCACGTGGCACCGGCTGTGGGCACCTGCAGGGCTGACCTGGGGACTTGTGGTCGCTGGCAGGCTCCGTGCTGGGTGCCGGGCAGCTGCTTGGGCCCAGGTGTGCACCTGCTCCATTGCGGGATCAGGATCCACCTTCGAATTCTAATATCCGGGGGTCCACTGAGTGACCCTCTTTCGGAAAGCGCTCTGATCATCGTGCTGGCATTTACCACACTGAGTGCGGCTTTTCCCTGAAGTCACCACGAAGGGCAGAGAAAATCAAAAGGGGAACATCACCGGACACCCCGGCTCCATCACCCATGGATCACAGACAAGGAGCAGCCCGAGGCACCCCGGCGTGCGGCGGGTCCCTGGAGGCTGGACCGTTGCCCAGAGCCACCTCCTCGCACACCCGCCAACGCCTCTGAGGCTCTTCCTCCAAGCCCCTCGGGCTGGTTTAATGCAACCTTAACCCGAGTAAATGCATTCGCGGCGGCTGGGGGACCTGACGAGAGAGGGGGGTGGGGAGTTGGGGCTCGTGCACCCCAGGAGCCAGCAGAGGTGCCTCAAGCTCCCCTTGGGAAAGACACCAGCTCTGCCTTTCCTCAAGGGGGGGGAGGCCTGAGCTCACACAGAGGCCACGGGGGTGGGGGGGCCAAGGGGGGAAGGGCGGAGGCAGCGGGAGGGGGGCGAGCACCGTAAAGACCATCCATGACCCCGACTCGACTCTAGTTTCTCTCACGGACTAGGAAGTCCCAGGATCGTGATCACGCCCGAAAGAAGGGGCGTAGGCGCCTTGTGTCGGGGCCGGGCTGACACAGAAGGAGCACACGCGTCGTGAGGGGCACCCAGTCCTACTCCGGCCCCCAGGAGGCGTGTTGGGGCCCCAGAGCCGGGCAGGGGTCCCGGCTGCAGCGTCACAGACTCCGTAAGGCAGGCGGCCCCTTAACCCCATGGCGGGGGGCGGGGCGCCATCCCCGCGCCCCGGCTTCCCGCCTGTCGGGTGCCGGCCTCCGCTGAGAAGACCAGCCGGCCTCACGCCCCGGGTTCTTACGACCGAAGCGCCCCAACACCAGCGGTAGCCCCGCGGCTCGTCCTGCCCGCACGCCACGCCCTGACCGGACGCAGAGACGCGAGGGCGCGCCGGCGGCTTGTGACCCGCGCCAGGAAGGCCCGCAGCCATGGCCGGGGAGCCGCCGCGGCGAGGCCTCTGTGCTCTGCGGAGTGTAACCAAGCCCAGAGGCGGGGGTGAAGCCGTTGCCACGAGCAGCCGCGGCGGCCGCGACGCCAGGACACACGCTTCTCCCCAAGTCTGCGCGACGTACCTTTTTTCTTTGTGTTGTGTCTTATGGGAAACTTTTTCTTAAAAGACACGCGTGAACTGTCTTCCTGAAACAGAAACCTCGTGTTAGGGAGCCACCTCCTCTCAGAGCGGCCAGAGCCCTCGGGGCGGGACCCGCCGCCACTGGCCCCCGAGCCTGAGTGAGTCCAGGGGGACCGGGGTCTGGCCAGGCGCCAAACACGCGGCCTGCTGGGGCCACCACCTCCCCCCCAGGGCCGTGAGCCCGACCAGCTGGTCACGCGGGCCGGGTCTGCTCCAGCCCAGGGTCCAGCGCAGACTGCGGGCGCCTCTCTGGGGGCCAAGCCCCACAGACCCAGTCCCCACTTTCCTGCCGCCCGAACGGCCCCGTCGGAAGTGGCCAGCTCCTCCGTGGAAGGAGGCGGCCCCTCGCCCAGCCAAAGCCACACACACCAGGGCTCTGATGTCCGTGGACCCTGAGAAAGTGGGGATCCGGGGCAACAGCACATCAACCCTGAGAAAGGAGAGACTTGCTGGGAGGGAGACCCCGACCGGAGCGGGTTCCCTGGAGCGGCGACGGTGGGACTCGGCTCCGGGTCCCCCTAGGATTTGATGCTGGCGGGACTGGGGCACCGCCTGGGCTGCAGACACGGGGGGCCCGGCTCTTCCCACACACCTCACTGGTGCCCTCAGGGCCGGGGCGGGCGGGAAGTCAGAGCTGGCCTCTGTGAGGCCCTGCAGAGCCGCCCGCCCCTACGCTCCGCCAGGAAGCAGGACCGCTCAGAAATGCCCACCCCAGACCCAGGGGCATGGAGCCGGCCTAGCCGCGCGGCCCACAGGAAGAGAGCCCACCAGCAGCGCCCAGCAAGGGCCAGCAGCGGGCGGCAGGAGTCGGCAGCCAGGCAGCCCCAAGAGGCAGGGAAGCCAGAGCCGGCTGGGCACACCGGCCCCTGCCCGACCTGACACCACACAGCACACCAGGTAATACACTGGTGCATCAAGGGTAACCATAGCAACGACAAAACCAAACTAAGCTCCTCTCTAGATTGATCCCAACCCCACAGAAAGGCCTCGGGGAGGAGGTTTGCGCGGAAACTGCACGGTCCTTCCAAGGGGAGGAAGTGGGGGGAGACGACGGAGGGGCAAAGCCCAAACCCACCCTGAAATCTCACCGTAGACTTGGCACCACCAGAGGGCGCGGGGGCGCGGGGGGAGCGGCGGGGATGGGGTGTGGGCAGCGGGGCTACCAAGGGGAGCGTGAACGTGGGCTCCGGGGCAAGCACGGCAGTGACGCCACCTCCGGAACAGTAACTGGCTGTGCTGAGAAAGGCGGACAGGCCCAGCGCGAGCGCGCCCCACAGGAGACCCCGCCCCGCCCTCCGGCCCTCGCAGGCGTCCCCAACTCGGGGCGCAGCTCGGGTGTGGGCTGCGAGGAGCAGGCGCCCCCGCCCACACCGCCCCCCCGGCGGGGGTGAACGGTCCTCTCTTTCGGCTTGGATCCGAATGACTGTCCTAGCAGAGGAATCCAAGCTTCACTTCCCCAGAACCACACAGTTCCCGGTCCCCGCCGGGGCCCTGGCGGCTCTCGGAGGCCTCGCCCTCAGTGACGCTCTACGTGCGGCGGGATCTGGGATGAAGACAAAGGACCAGACCATTAAAAATTCAACTCAACATGACTCTTTCTGAAGAAAGGAGCCAGGGCCTCCCCGGGGGCGCAGGAGGTCGAGCGCCGCGCTGTGGAGCTGTCCGCAGCCTCTGCAGCGCGGGTTCAATCTGGGCCGGCCAGGGAGCAACCCACAGGGCGCAGCAGACCTCTCCCGCCTCCCCGCTGCGCTCCTCAGCCGCGTGTGTCGTCAGGCTGCTTGTTCTCCAAGCCCCAGCTCGTGTGGCACGGTGGCCAGGGCCTCGCAGAGCGGGCCGCCCTCTCACGGCAGCGGTGCCCCCAGACAGCTGGCTCCCGGGCCCCGCAAGCCCGGCCACAGCACCGGCTCTGTGATACCTGCAGGCTCCAAGGTTCACGGCTCGAACATCGAGATATTATCAGAAAAAGCCACACTCAAGCAGACTTTTAAGAAGTGCCCATGTGCCCCAAGGACAGACCCAACCAGCCGTGGGTGAGCTCCCGCCCCCGCCTCCAGCAGGCGGCAGAGCCTTCGGCAAATGGAACACAAATGCCCGAAGCCGGACGAGAGGCGTCCCTCTACCGGCGGCCGATGTTCATAACCAACGCGTCACCGTGGGCGCCGGCCAGGACCACGGCCGTCGTCTCCCTCTCCGTGCTGGAGGCCGCACAGGCGCTAGATGAGGGTGACCGTGTTGGGGGTCGGCCTCCACGGAAGACCGCGCCCTCGCCAGGGGGTGCCCAGCGCCCTCTGATGGTGCTCGGGCAATGGTGTCGCCACCTGGGGCAGGTGAGCAGCACCCAGCCCGCGACTTGGTTTCCGTGTGCGTGTGCGTGTCCTCGGGCAGGTGAGTCCGGCTGACTCGTTCTCACAAGCCTCTCGGGTTTTCACTCTTGCCGCGAAAATATGCCCAGAGACAAACCAAACTGAGTATTTTTCCACCAGAAGAGAATTAAAGTGTCTTTTTTGATCATGGCATGAGATCCAATGGCCAGGGCAGAAGACGCGGCGGCGCCGCAGCTGCAGCAGGCCCTGGGCAGCCCCACCCTCAGGACCCTGCCGGGGCTGCCTGGGAACGTGCGTGCTCGGCTGCGAACGCTGCGCCCTCTCCAGATACAGCAACAGTCGCAGTCAGGGAGCTGACACACAGGGGAGCTGACACGCGGCAGCCCCCCATGCCAACTCGCGCATGGACCAGCCACTCAGCAGCCGCCGCCCCGCTAACATGTTGCCCGAGAAAATAAGCGGAAAGAAGCTTCCAGCCAGTCACTGGGTTTCCTCTTTTCTTGCCCGTGCCTGCTAATTCTACAATAAATATAAACTTCCTATTTGCGAAAGGGTCCGGAACTGTGAAAGCCGAGCCATCGCGGAAGAAAACGCACCTTAAAGGGACAGTAATGGCTACTGCGCGAGGGCGGCGCGAGCCGATGCGGAGAACAATGAAAACACGAGTGACGTCGACTTCCGTTTTCACGGCCTTTGGATCTGCCAGAGCCCAGGGCGGCACGGGCGGCGGGGGCAGCACAGGTGGCGGGCAGCGCTCTGCCCGCAGGCACAGCGCAGGGCGGGTGCTCCTGGTCCCGGTACCCACGATGACCCCGGTGCACAGACAAGGACGCTGCAGCAGGGAGCAGCGCTTCAGGGGTGGCGCCGGCGCCCAAGGCGTGCGCCCACACGTGTGCCCGGTGAGGGACAGATTCCCAAAGAGCCGCTGGCCGGCAGCAGGTGGACGGGAAACCGCCTGGGGGCCTGACCGCTGAGCCCTGGGCTGGGAAGCACACAGAGGGTGAGGTGCTCACGGTGATTTGAATGGCAGTTAAGGGCGGGAGCAGCCCAGGGCCTGATTTCCAAGTGAAGTACAGGTTTTTCGTCTCCTGGCTTTAGGTTAAGTAACACAAACGCCGTTTTAAACACGGAAATGGCACTCCCCGGGCACTCTCAGACCCGGGCCCAGAGGTTCCTGGGCAGTAAACCGCACACAGGAGACCCGGGTGCCAGTCAGTGCTGGTCAGCGGCCGTGGGGAGAGCGGCCGTGGGGACAGCGGCTGCTGCGCCGCCCCAGAAGCACATGGCCGGCAGCGCCCCGGCGCGGTCGTCTTTAAACACGGAGCTAAAGCGGCAACACTCGGCACATCTGACGCGTATCGTCGCGAATCCCAGAGGCTGGTTCGTTATAAACAATCTGCCGAGGACCCCGACAGAGCAGAGAGGGGAGGCTCTGGGGTCGGGAAGCGCCCGTGGGGCTCGCGGCGGGGGGCGGGGGGCAGCTCCAGGTGCCTCTGATGTGGAACCCACAGGTAGGTTTCCACTGGGTCACCGTCCCAGGTCCGAGCACCGACGACCAGGTTCTTACGGGGCGAGGCGCAGGTGCGGCGCCGATAAATAAGCTCTCACGCTCAGACAGACGTCACTTCACGGGACGTGAGACCCGGCCCCGCCTCCGGCCGAGCTGGGCTGAGCGGGGAGACGGCCGCTGTGGCAGCCCACCCCCGCCTCTCGGCCAGCTGCCAGCAGGGCCCTGCCACCCAGGGGCTCCCAGGGAGCCCGCACCTCTGTCCCCAACCACCGACACATGGTGGCAGCCGATGGCCAGGGTCCGAGGGGCAGGGTTTGTGGCTGCCTGGCACCCGCGGGGGCTGAGGCAGGGAGGGAGGCGCGAGACCCGGACCCTGAGGGGCTTTGGGGTTCTGGGCTTCTGCCCGCCCTTCCAGGGCGACGCCCGCCAGCTCCCTCTGGGCCCGTCCTCTGTCTGGGGGCAGCGACAGGCACGATGGGGACAGAGACACCCCAGGCCTGGCACCTCCTCCCCGTGCCTCCGGGGCGGAAGCACTGAAGACAAACCTTTCTTTCCTGAACCTCAAAATGCTTTTCATCCTTTTCCTGTTATTGAAACAAAAATGCAGCAGTCAACCACCTGCACCGGGGTTGCCCCAAAGTCATCGTCCCCCGCGGGCCCCTCAGGCCCCCGCCGGCTCCTCCCAGGGTCCCAGTGTCTCCCGGGGGGCACATCCCCTCCCACCTCCTGCTGCATGACCACAGAGGTGCAACCCTGCCCACACCCGCTTCTTTGTTTCACAGGCACCTTGTAAACGTTTTTACATGAAGTGCAGTGTTTTATAGTCTTGGTTGCACCCTAAATACCCCCTCTTGGGCTCTGCCCTGCGGGATGCACAGGCTGCCAAGCCACGCCCAGCCCTTCCCGGGCCCTGGGTCCCCCCAACGCAGGGTCTGCAGACGTGGTGGCACCGCGTCCACACCTTGCACAGCCCACTGGAACGGGCTGGGAGCTTTTCACGACTTTCACACTTTCTTTTCTGCACTCAGCACGAGGAGAAAGATCTGCTCACACGTGCTGGTTTAGCCGTGAGCCCCGGAGATCAGGCACCCAGCGCTGCAGAAGCCGCCAGTTCACCGCGATTCAGGCAGCCCCAGGCAGCCAACTTACTAGACCATGAGCCGCGGACACCTTGTGAGCAGCTGAGAGGAAGCTCGCGCGCCCTGGTCACAGGCACCAGGCCCCAGACACTCCACCCAGGCAGCTGCCTTCATCCACTCCCCAAGCCAGACCCACTGGGCTGTCAGGAAGGAGGCGGCAGAGCGCTCAGCCGTGAACCCCTTGGACGTCTAGAAACCCGAACAGGGCCCCCGTGGGAGCGTGCCCTCAGTGGACATGTGGCCAGGCAGCTGCAGAGGGGTCAAGCAGCGGGGCCTTCCAGGACGGGGCCTGCTGCAAACACTTCAAAACCAGAACTGCCTTGAAAACAGTGCCCAGAGGCAGGATTTTGGAAACAGAAGCCCCGAATGCCACGGGGCCACACCGGTGTGGGGGACACAGAGCCCCCAGCCCTGCTGAGTGCGGCCACCAGGTGGTGGGAAGGAGTTGGTTCGTCTGGGCCAGGAGTGCGGGAGACGCCACTGGGGCCAGTCTGGGAGCCGCTAAGGCCGTGCGTGTCCACCCCGGCTCGAGAGGCTGGTCGGGGCAGCTTGGCTGAAGAAGGCAGCGGAGCTGCTCGGTCTGTCTGTGTTGCTCCACGCCCGACTCAGGCTTCCTGGGCCTCCGCCCAGTGCGCACTCACGTCCACGCCGCAGCAGACCAGAGGGGCAGGCCCAGGCCCCACACCCAACAAGGCCAATGACCCACCTTGGTGCTTCCCAGATCAGGGGTCTGCTCCTGGGCCGCCTCCTCTCGGACCACCTTGGCCGGCATCTGGCAAGAGCACAAGGCACTTGGGTCCGAGACCGGGTAGGAGCGCTGGGCACAGGGCGCGGGGCAGCAGGGCGCGGGGCAGCGTCTCCCAAACAGGCAGAGACTGAGCCACCGCGCCCCTGGTCAGCCCTTCCAGGCGGCAGCTCTGCCCTCAGCCTCACCTGTCCCCACCAACAAGGTTGACCTGTTTGATAAAACTTTCCGCAAAGTCTCCAGGGGGAAGCGCGGCCTGACCCCCCTCCTGTCTAATGCAGCGGCCTGGCGCCCCCCACCCTGGTGCCCTGGGCCTCCGTGCACAGGACGTGCCCAGGAGCCTGGCTGGCCCTCACGGGGCCACCTGCATGCCTCAAAGTCATGCTCTGCCATTACATCTTCCCACTCAAACAGCCGCCACCACCTGGGGCTAGGCACCCCGGCCCCCTGACCGCCCCTGACAGCCCCCTGGAACCTCTCCAGGGTCTCCCACCCTGCCCACTCCGCCCGGCTCCCTGCCCGGGAGCTGTCATGCCCGTCACTCATCCTAGACGAGCCTCAGCAGACGCTGTCCCCACTCGGGGGAAGGCCCAGGCCTTGCTGCCCACTGCGCACACAGTATGGTGACTGTTCACCCCCTCGTCTGTCCTTCCAGGATGACAAGGCCCCTGGCTGCCTGAACCCCGCCAGGACGGGGCCCACGCAGCAGAGCAGACGGCCCTCCTTGCGGGGCTGTGGGGCAGGGCATGGACCAAGTGAGCCGAGCTGAACCCCAGCCACAGCTGTGCCTGCCGCGTGGGTGTCCAGACCAGGAGGCCTGGGAGGACGGGTGCAGGCAGGGGCTGCAGGAGGAGCAGGAGCTCACTGGAGGTGGCAGAACATTCTAGAGGCCAAGGAGAATGTAGGGGCAGGTGGGGCCCGGGAGGGACTCTAAAGAGACCCAGTGTTTCCGGACTCGCAGCCCCAGGCTTTGGGCTTGGGGCCTCAGGTGGCCGGGGGGTGGGGGGACCTACCTGGTCCACAGGCACCTCCACCTGCCCGGCCAGGTCCTCCTTGACGTCTGGCGCCCCCCAGATTTCCGCGTGAGGGGTCTGCGCCTTATACACGTCACCTTCAGGAGAAGATACAGGGAGAGTTTGCAACCAGTGGCCACTGGGCCTTTCTGACCCAGGCCAGAGTCACAGCTCTGCGTCCTCCGGCCCCACACCCCTCCCCTGGACTCCCGCTGCACCTCCTGCAGCCTGGGCTGTGCCCCAGGCCTGGCCCCCGAAGTCATGTTCCTCTCACCGACCCACCCTCCCCGGCCCTCGGCCCCAGACACAAACACCGCCAGCATCCTCCAGACGCGCCCGTCAGCTCCGCCAGGAGGACACGGAGTAGCCGCAGGCACCGGAGCAGACCCCAGCACAGGCCCCGAGAGCCCGCGTGAACCGAGTGGGTGCCCACGTGCTTATTACCCAGCCCGGCCGACACAGAGACACTGCAGCTGCCTCCGCAGTCGCCCGGAGCACCTGGGGGCTCCACGGGAGGGGCAGCATGGTGGGGGGCCAGAGGCCCCCTCCCGGCCTGTCCTGGAGCCCCTCCCCCTCAAGGGCCGCTCCAGACCTGGACCTCCCTCCTGGCCCGGCCCAGCAGCACCCGAGTCCCGGCCCCAGGCCCTGCTGACCTGGACAGCGGGCTGGACGGCGGGGAGACCCAGGCCCCACTGCACCCTCAGTGCCCGCGCGACCTCCGACCCTCCTCGCTCTGTGCCTGCGGGCCTCTGTATCCCCGAGGCGGCCCGTGCAGGGGCACCAGCACTAAGCTTCTGGGGGAGACGCCGCGTGGCAACCGTCATGATATGGGGGTGGGCGCCCTGCCCCCACGGCGCCTCTCGGCTGCGCTGCAACAGCCCCTGGGCCCAGCTGCCACCCACCAGTGCTGCCTCTGCAGAGGGCGGGCCTGCGGCCAGCCAGCGCCTGTGCCCGCTGGGCGAGCACCAGGGGCCAGCAGGGCAAGAGGCAGGAGGAGCCCAGGGAGGCGGCCAGCTCTGCAGACCAAGCGCCGGGAGGCCAAGACGCCGCGCGGGAACAAAGGAAAAAGCCTGCCTGTGTCCAGTCAGCCGTCCAAGCAGAAGACAGGGCCGAAAGCACATCAGAGCGGGACGTCGGGAGCCCCCGGCCCCTCCCCGCTCCCCCAGCCGGCAAGGGCTTGGTCTCTGAAGGTCCATCACGCGATGGACGAGATACAGCGGGGGGTCCAGACGGCGCAGGAGGAGGACTGAGAGGAGGCAGCAGGCGAGGACAGGCGATGGACAGATGGGGCGGGGGCAGCAGCAGCGTCAGTGGCCGCACGGGCGGCAGAAGGGGGACAGGCAGGGACAGCCGCGGGGACAGCAGTGGGGACAGCAGCGGCAGCCACAGGAGGGGGCAGCGAGGAGGGGAGTGGCACGTGTTAAAATATTTCATTTTAAATTCACGTCTAAAGCTTATCGTTGAAATTCTCCTCCTCAAAAGCCAGCCCAAGCCCCACCGGCCCCTCGCACGGTCCCCTCACAAGGCTGGCTCTCCGCTGGCAGTTTCCTGCCCTTTGCCTGAGGCGGAGGCCAGGGCTCGCCCGTGATGTCGCTGGTGTGGCCTCTGCCAGGCCCTGCCCCCACCCTGCCCCCAGGCGAGCTGGCCCAGAGGGGTCCAGTGCGAAGCCAGTGACCTGGCCAGGCAGGCGCCCGGAGGGGCCGCACACGTCACCTGTGCCGCTCTCGGGCAGGAGCTGGGCCGGGGCCGTCTGTCTCTCTCTGGCGTAGTACACCGAGTCCTGGGCCGCGCGGGGGAGGCTGTCCTGCTTCCCAGCATCTTTCCCTTCCGGCTCCTCCTGAGGCACCCAGGGCAGGGGCAGAAAGCACGTCAGAGCAGGCGGCCCAAGGCTCCGCAGGGGCCTCCAGGGCACCGCCAGCCCCGGCCCTCCCTCCTGGCCAGGGCGGCCTCTCGCCTCCATGCCCCTGCAGGTCTCGAGCGGACGCCTGTTCCTCTCAGTCCCTCGTGGAGCCTGGCCCCAGTGAGAACCAGAGGATCAGCCTCCCGCCCTGCCCTGCCGGCCCGGCCCCCTCCCACCGCACCCCGGTCCACAGGCCACTGGAGCAGGCCCGGCCAAGCGCAAAGCCGCGCACGACGCTGGCCACGAATCTCAGCAGCGACGGGAAGACAGCGGATTCAGACAGCGCCGGCCCTCACGGGGAGGGGGGGCGCCCGCTCCCGCGCTGTCAAAGGGCGAGTCCAACCTCCGCGACAGCCCACCGGCGTCACCAAGACCCGCCGACGCCCGCGCGCCGGCCAGCTGCAGACCCGAGGCCTCGCCCCCCCCACGGGCTCCCGCCGCCCCGCCTCCTGGACCCACAGGACCCCGAGGCAGGGGAGCACACGTCGCAGCGCGCAGGCGCCGGCAGCCTTGCGGAGAGAAGAACACAGACGGCAGAGCCGCTAAAATTCCGCTTTTCTGACTTATTTGGGGATATTTGATCGCCGTATAAATAGGTGATGAGGCCCAGATGGGCCTCGGGGACGGGCTTCCACCTGCCTCTCCCGCTCGCCCGACACTGCATTCTTGCCAGAGCCCTCCCACACTGTGGGCAAACACACGTGCACACACGTGCACACACGTGCACACACAGAGCCAGCTGCGTGCCCCGCCGGCCCCCACCCCAGCACGCCCGGCTGCTCCCCAGCCCACGGCCCCCCCGGCCCCACCCTCCCCGGCCCCCCGCAGCTGGGCCCCAGAGACCTGCCACTTTCTCCTCCACACCTGCTGCCTGCGGCCTGGCCCCCCACCCTCTCGCACGCCCCACCCCCCCGTCCCCCCACCGCGCCCTGCCCCAGTGCCTGACGCGGCGGCCACCTCTCCCCTCGAAAGCACCTACTTTACTCTTCCTGTGCGAGGGCCTCTCGGCATCTGCGTACTTTCTGAAAAATGAAACGTCTCCGTTGAACGGTCAGCCCAGGCTGGTCGGGGCTGTCAGAGCCACAGGAGGTGCCCGCTGTCCCCAGACAGCACGGACGACCCCAGCCCAGGGGCCGAAAGCGCCCCCAAGAGGCCTGTTCCGTTTCCCTCTCATGAAAACCGGACGGACTCTCACTCCCAGGCCCATCTGTCCCGAGGACGTCAATCCTCAGGGGGGGCCTGACAGTCACAGTTTTGATGTCTGCAGTGTCCCCACGTGCTCCCCCAGTGGCCTGTCCCCACCCACTGGCCAGGCGTCGGCAGCCCCACCACTGGCCAGGGAAGGGCAGAGCCGGTGGGGACCCCTCGCCCCTGCTCTCCCTGGCCCCGCGCCCACCCTGCTGCCGCCTGACCGTCCCCACGCAGCCGCCCTGGAGGTGCCTGTTCTCCGCCTGGGCGCACACCCATAACCCCGTCCCTCCAGGGAACCCCCACACGCGGTCCTCCGGGGGCCTGTGTGGGGTCCTGTCATCCCGGGCCCCGCCTGCAAGTGACCGGTGACGGGGCAGGCTGGGCGGTGAGAGGACAGGGAGACACAAAATGTGCTGAATGGCAGGGGTCGTGGGGGGCAGGGACCTGGCTGCTCCCTGCCTGCCACCAGCACTGGCCACCCCCAGCGTGAGTCACCTGTGTGAAATCAGGTGAGTCCCCACCAAGGGCGGGGACTGGGCTCCCGCCTGCACCCCACGGCCACAGCCAGCCCCACCAGGAGGCGGAAGCGGCCCCTCTCCTCCTCTGCTCGAGATGACAGCCCTAAAACCTTGGCAGAGCAGGGCCCAGTGGGCGGCTCTGGCCCCTCAGGTAGTTTGAGCGAAGTTGCCAGGGCTGCAGCTCCACGGGTCTCCCCGGACACTGCCTACCTGGGCCTGCACCAGAGCAAGTTGGGGGTGGGGCTCGTGCCCACGGGAAGCCACACCCCAGGCCAGACCCGGGGCGGCCTTGAGGGGCATCCAGTCATCTCAGGCCCTGCCTGTCTTCTCGCCTGCCCCAGAGGCTCCGGCCCGAGGCCCTCACCGGCTCCCGGATATGGCCTCTGAGAAGGGCCTGCAGGCCGAGAGGGAGCCCTGGCCTGAGTAGCCACAGGGCCGGCGCTGAGGGGGGAGGCCGAGCCCAAGGGGCCTGTGTGCCCCGAGCCAGGCCGCATCCCTTGACCCAGTGACCAGCTGCTCTGGCTGGCCTGGGAGGACAGTGTGGGCTGGGCAGTGGCCGGAGCAGCCAGGAGTGGTGCCCCAGGCCTCGTCGTCGTCCCACTATGCACAGCTCGCCACCATGAGTGCACACGTGGCCGAGTTCGGGGTCCACGGTACATTCCCCGCTGCTTCGCCACCAGAGCCAACTCTCAGTGAGGAAAAGCAAGTGGAGCAAAAACAGCGGGTGGCGCCTGCCCAGCTCTGTGGGGGTCAGCGCCCCCGGCCCCCACCCAGGCCCGGAGAAAGGGTTCATGGGGCTCCAGGAGGCCCCTGGCCCAGGGACGTGGCCACAGCAGCACTATTCACCCTCACTCTGAACCCCAAGCTGAACGCAATGGAAGGCGAGAGCATTCGCCACAGGCCAGGGCCAGCAGCAGCACTGGCCCCGGGGCCGGGCGGGGAGGAGGCCGGGGCTGCTCACCGCTGCACCTCGTCAGGCACGCGCGGGGACTGCCAGTAGGGGAAGTGCTTGAAGGCCTCCAGCCCCGCAGCGACGTAGAAGTGGTTCTCCTGCAGGCCCTCCGAGCTGTCCAGCAGGCGCCCGGTCAGCGTGAACAACCTGCAGAGACAGGAGGACGGGCTGGGGCTGGGCGGGCAGCAGGAGCGGACGCGGCTCCCAGGGCAGGAGTGGCCGGTCGAGCCCGGCGGGGCTGGGCTCGAGACTGGGCCCCTCGCGCTCCAGGTTGGTCACCGAAACATGTTTTTAATTACGTGCAAGGTCCGCGGCCCCGGACTCAGTGTTCAGTTAACTCTAACTAGTAACAAAGTCCGTGCGCAGCGGCTCCCACGGCTGAAACACTTGGAGGATGAAGCAGCGGCCGTGAGCGGACTTCACCCGGCCTCTCCACAGGCATCAAAACTCTCCTCGTACCCTGGCCTGGCAAGTATTTAACGACTCGCTTACTCGCTGAAGAGAGGATGGAGGCGGCAGGGAAGGACGCTGACCGCAGGGGACGGGCACTGCGGAGGAAGACCCTGAGCTGGGGGGACCGCCTGGCCACCCTGTGGCGCCTGCCCACCTGACCCTGTGGCGCATCCAACTGCCCGCCCTGCCCACGCTGACCGTGGCGTGCGCTGTCCACCTTCTCCTCCCTCATGCCAGCCACGGGGGCCAGCCCAGCCCGCTCCCGAGATGCCCCCGCTCAGGACCCCCGCATCCGCCCAGCCCTGTGCTCCCCACGGCAGCCGCTCCAGGGGCTCAGGGCCAGCTCCCCGCGCCGCTGGGCCCCTCCCCTGCTCCCTGGTCCTGCTTGACCTCGGGCCAGCCTCGCCTCCGCTGAGGCACGGGTGAGGTGTCCCCGCGGTGCGCAGTCTCCAACACGAGGCTCGGGGCTCCCCCACCCAGCCCCGCAGCAGGTGTGCGCGCTGCCGCCCTCAGGAGCAGGTGCCACTGTCCCCCAGAAAGGGAACCGGTCCCCGGCCCCCAAGTGGAGCGTGATCCTGACAGAGACGCAGGAGCAGGCTCAGATGGGCCCGCGCGCCTCCGCCTGGCTCAGACGCCCCCCCCACCCCCGCCCCACTAGCAGCCGTCTCGAGCAGACGGGCTCCCCACGCGCCCGTCTGGCCCAGGCCCCGCACTTGCGGCCCGGCTCGAACGTGGCCGGTGCCCCGAGGCTGGGGTGAGTGAGCGAGGGAGCTGCCCGGGGGGTGACCGCAGGACGCCACGCCTGGCAGGGCCACAGGGAGGAGGTGGGGAGTGGCAGGGTGGGGGGCGGGGGGCTGGCCTCCAGGCCCACGGGTGCAGGGCGGCCTTACCTGTGCACCCCGCCCAGGGGGAAGACCTTCTCCCCGACCATGGCCAGCACGCTGTTCCAGTCCGTCAGCGTGAATTTGGGGATAATGACCTTCGCTGGGGGCGTGAAGAGGCTTCCATTTGTGAACACGCTGCGAGGACAGAAGAGACACAGTGGCAGCCCTCCGGGAGCAGACGCCGGGGCACCGGGAGGACGGACGCTGAGCCCGGCAGGACCGGCACCCCCAGGCTGCCCCCAGCCTGCAGACCGCACCCAGCGGCGCCCCAGCTGCTCGGCCAGGCCGGGCTCAGCGTCTCGGGGAACAGACGCTGCCGGGGGCCAGACTCCAGGGCCGAGAAGCTCGCCTCGCCGCGGGCGGACGGACGGAAACGCGTCCTTCGGGAGCTCAGCCGGGCTCCGCGGCCGCCAGGGCCAGAGACCACGGAGAGCCTCAGGGCAGCGCTGCCCCCGGGGCGGAGGGGCTGTGTCCGGGACTCGGGGGTTGGGGGGGGCGGGGGTGCCCCGAGCTCTTCAGAACCCAGTACAAAGGCCGGGGGCGCCGGTGGTGACAAGGGCGCCCAGGCCAAAGGCACAGGCTGCGGGGGGGTCAACACAGCCCCTCAAGGTGCCTCCGAAGGCGGCGAGATGCAGTGAACGGGAATATTCCAAATATTTCAAGATTTAATTGTGTTAATTTTCTTTCAAAGAGGATGGACTGCAGTCCAGTGACGTGGATGGGGGGATGGTGGAGTGGGGGGCAGGGGAGCCCCGTCCTCCCAGCGGCCGCAGCTCTCTCAAGCCTCCCTCCTCCTCCAGGCGCTGCGGCCCCCGAGCAGGCGGAGAAGCTTCGCTCCCACAGGCCCAGAGGGAAGCGGGGCGCCCCAACTCCCAGCCCCCCCGCCCGTCTGCCCCTCCCCCATCCCCCACCCGCCTCTCCCTGCTCCCGGAGAACCAGACCCGAGGGCGGCCGCTGTGGCTCCCAGGCGCTGCTGACTGGCGCTGGAAGGAAGTGGGGCGGCCATTTCTGCCCGCCGCCCTCGCCCCTGCCCGCAGCCGGGGGATGGTGCCCCTGCCCTCCTGGGGCAGCTCCCGGCAGCAGCCAGGCCGGCCGGGGGCGAGGCCGAAAGAGCTCTGAGTCTGGGCGGCCCGCCCCCACTGGGCGCCACGGCGGGGTCCACAAGCCCCCCACTCTGGGGCTGGCGTAGGGAGGGGTGCTCGGGCGCTGCCCAGAGCCGAGTCGCCCCAGCTCACCCCAAGTCTCATCGCCTCGGCGCAAAACCTGGCTTGCCCTGCAGGGCCACAACGAAGGCAAAATGAAGCGATCGGGATTTTGGTTAGAAAAGGGCTGTAAAAGGCATTCACTGTTCTTTGTTTTTCTTTTAACCGAGACAGGATGCGCGGACGCTGAGGCGGACGACACGCTGGGTTGATGCACCCGGAGCTCGCGCGGGGATCCTGCCCTCGCCAGCTAACGCCGCTAGCACGTCACAGAACCATCACCGCCGGCTGGAGGGGAGAACACGTGAGATCCGGCCTCGGGGCTCCGGGTGTATACGGCAGCGCTGCCGGCCTCCCTCACCACACCGCGCCCCGGCTCTCGGGCCTGCCGTCACCTGGCGCAGGCCTGCTCCGGAGCCGCGCCCCCCCTTCCCCGCTCAGCTGGCAGGACTCGTGCCCCCGCTGGCTTTTCCTGAGATACGACAGAGCTCAGGAGAACGCGGAGCGGGAGCGCCTCTCCAACGCCAGCCAGCGTCCCGGCCGCCCCATCCACCCGCGGGGCTCCCTTGGCCCCCCAGGCCAGGGCGGGGCGGGGCTCCCCACGTCAGGACACGCCTGGCAGGTGCTGAGCTGGGCCCCAGCCCTCCCGCCAGGCCCAGCCCCAGAGGGACAGGTGGCCCCAGCAGGAGCTGCCCTTGTGCCCCAGGCTGTGCAAGGAAGGGGCTCCCCTTAGTGACAAGGCGGTGGGTAACAGGCACTGCAGGGTGGATGCGGCTCCAGCGATCAGTGTGAGAGGGTGACAGATGCTGACCTATAAGGACGCACAGCGGGAGCTCGGGGGACACTACAAGGCGAGGCTGTCGACTTTCAGTAAAAGTGTAAATCCCCCTCCCCCGCTGCCATGTGGCCAGGTGGAGGAGGCTGCGCAGAGGAGGCCGCTGAAGACCCCCGGGGCCCAGGGCCCCCCCCACACACACACACACCAGCCCACTCAGCGGGAACAAGACCCAAGCCTGAGCCTCTGCCGCCCCGGGGCTTCAAGGACACATGCCAGGAGAGCCGGTCCTCAACCCGGCCCCCCAACACAGCGCTGCAGACCCCAGCGCTGCAGACCCCGGCGCCGCGGACCCCGGCCTGTGCTCACTTTATGCACCGGGACAGGCGGTGGTACGTCTGCCACCTGGAAGGCACGTTGATGTCACAGTGCACCACCGGTTTGATCTGAAAAATAAATACAAGACATCAGAGCAGGCTCAAACCAGCAGCCCCTTGCTAGCACCTACAGCGGTCACCCGCCCCCTGGGACGCCTCGGGAAGGCACAGGGGGCAGCCACTGTCGGGGCTCCCCGCACAGACACATGGGGGCCGGAGGGGGGAGACCCGGGCACCTGCTCTTTCGCGGCGCAGGCGATGCTGGTCAGCCCAGGGCCCCATCCCAGGACGCGGCCGCCCCAGGCCCCAGGCCCAGCCGCGAGCCCCCGGAGCCAGCCCTGCATTGCCCCTTCCCTGGCCCCGAGGCGGGCCCTCGCTGCTCCCTCGCTTCTGCCCCGCGCGGCACCCGCGACCCTTCACTCCGGCCCTCTCGACCCCACAGGCCGGCCGAGCCGCCTCATCCACCGACCCCACGGCCCTTCCCTGCGGTGAGCAGCCTGCCGGCAAGGCCGGACGTCCGCTCCCGTTTTCAGCGCAGGGCTCCGCGATGCCGGACACGCCTGTGTCCATTTGCGCACCGTGGACTCCCCGTGGGGGTCAGGCCTCCCAGAGGCAGGACTGAGCATCAGGTCCGGGATGTCCCGGGGCCTGAGCCGGAGGGGGCGGTGGAGGGAGGGGCGTGACAGCCGCAGCCCGAGTGTGAGTGAGCGAGCGACCGACTGGACGAGGCCGAGCTGCCCTGGGGATGCGCCAAGGACCCAGGACGCGGGCCTCGGGCTTGTAGCGGGACAGCCACCCCGTCACCTGCTGTCACCCCGCGAACCCACACGGAAGGGACGATGAAGAGCGAACCCTGCGCCGAGAACAGTGTCTCTCACCGACCGGGCCGGCGAGCCCACAAAACCGCCCCCCACACGCCCCGCAGCTGCCCAGAGGCCACCGCCGAGCGCGTGAAGTCGGCGCCGCCAGGGCCTGCTCGCCCTCCGCGGTCGCTGTCCCGGCGCCTGCCTCGCCGGCCCGGGTGTTAGCAGGGCTGGGATCTCCCAGCTCCCCAGAATCCCGCGGGGGGCCGGGGTGGGCTCTGGCTGCTGTGAGGCGCGAAGACAGCGGTGAAGACGGGGGGCGCGCGCCTGCCCTGGCGCCGGAGGGCTGTCGGGCTTCGGGCTCCCCAAGCCACGGAGCAGCCAAACCTAAATGACCCACGGGCCCCTGGCTGCGCCCGGGTGTTTTGGCATCGGCACCCCATCCTCGAGCCTCCCGAAGCCTAGACGGGCAGCAGCCCGGGCGGCGTCCCCCGACGCAGCAGCCAGCCCCGCGGGCGCGCGTGGGCAGAGCGGGTGCACGTGGCCGGGGCGGGCGCGCGGGGGCGGGGCGGCGCGCGCGGGGCGGGGCGGGCGCGCGGGGGCGGGCGGGCGCGCGTGGGCAGAGCGGGTGCACGTGGCCGGGGCGGGCGCGCGGGACCGGGCGGCGGCGCGCGGGGGCGGGGCGGGGGCGGTGGGGGCGGGGCGGGGGCGGGGCGGGCGCGCGGGGGGCGGGGTGGGGGTGGGGCGGGGGGGTGGGGGCGGGGGTGGGGGGGGGTGGGGGCGGGGGTGGGGGGCGGGGCGGGGGGGGCGGGGCAGGTGGGTGGGGTGGGGGCGGGGGCAGGGGCGGGGCGGGCGCGCGGGCGCCCTCCGCGCGGGCTGGCGACGGGGATTCGAGGGTCTGGCCCGGGGCGCGGCCCGTCTGGAGCCGCCCTCGCTCCTGCGCCCCGGCCCGGCCCGGGGAGGCGCCGGCGGCTCCGGCGGCGCTGCAGGCCCGGGCCCCGCTCTTCCCGCACGGGTTCGGCCCCCGCCGCGTCGGCACCGACCTGCCCGCGCCAGGCGCCCCAGAAAAAGACACGCGAGCTCGGCCGGAGGAGACCCCGCGGCGGGCGGCGGGCGGCGGGCGGGCGGGCGGGGCGGGCGCCCCCAGGCGGAGCCGACCTCCCGGGCGCCGCGTCCCGCTTCCCCCGCGGGCGGGGCGGCCGAGACGCCGGCCCCGCGCAGACCCCGCGTCCCGGGGCGTCCGGGCAGCAGTCGGGCCGGAGGAGGCGGGCGCCGGACAGCGCCCCCCCGCCCCGCTCCCGGGCCCCCGCCCCGCGCCTCCGCAGGCCGCGGCCGGGGGCGGCGGCAGGAGGGCAGCGCGGCTCTTCCCGCGCCCCGCCGGACCCCGAGACAGGCGGAGGCGCTTCCGTGAGCAGCTCCCGCCCCCGCCCGGCGCGGAGACCACGCCCCCAGGAGCCTCGGGCCGCGCCCCAGAGCGCCTCAGGCCACGCCCCCAGATTCCCTCAGGCCACGCCCCCGAGAGGCCCTTAGGCCACGCCCCCGAGACGCCTTCAGGCCACGCCCCAGAGTACCTCAGGCCACGCCCCCAGAGTGCCTCAGGCCACGCCCCACAGAGCCTCAGGCCACGCCCCACGGCGGCCCCAGCGGCCGCGGACTCCCCCTGGGGGGGTCTTGGACACGGCCGGGGCTCCGCGCCTCGGGCTTCGGGACAGGCCTGCGCGCGCCCTCCCTTCAGAAGGCGCCGTTTCTGCCAACCCTCAACTCTTCCGTGTTCGCACTCGCGTTTTTACCGGAGCGTCCAGCTTGGCCCCCCCCCCCAGCAGCCGGCGGGGACTTACCTCCCGCCGCCGTCTCGCCTTGGCCGGGGCCCGGGGCTCGATGCGCGCGTAGCTGCGGGAGGGAGGGGGCGTGAGGGCGCGTGAGGGGGCGCGGGGGTCCCGCCAGCCTGGCCGCCCGCGCCGGGGCCGCCCCCCTTGGCTTTCCCGAGGACCCGCGGCCTCGGCCCCGGCCGGCCGCCCCCCGACCCCGTCCCGTCCCGCAGAGGCGGGCCCGGCCCCGCGCTGGTCGGCCGGGAGGAGCCCCGGGGAGGAGCCCGCGACGGCGCGCGGGACCCGCCGGGCGGGGCGGCCCTGGGGCGCGGCAGCCGCAGACGGGGCGAGTCTCGGCGAGGACAGGGGACACCCCGGGGCCGGAGCCGGCAGGATTCTTCCAGGTTTAAGCGTTTTCGCGTGTTTCACGCGGTGGGCGCGGACGCTGTAGTGACGTGCAGAGCATGACTGGCCAGACTTGGCGGGTGGAAGGAAAAAGGAATTTTAAGTCATTCCACGTGGAGTCAGAGCCACAGCCCGGATGCCTGCGGAGCCGGCGGGCGGACCACGATGCTCGCCTGGGGACACCGGGAATGGAGGGCCCGGGCTCGCGTGGCTTCCCATCCCGGACGAGCAGGTCCGCGGCTCCAGTTTCCAGGTGGAAAGGCAGGCACCTGGGCTGCCAGGTTTTCTTTTCCATGAGAAACCAACATTTCTTCTTGCGGCGTGAATCTCCCCATTATAAAATCTTTGCCACCAATTCAAATCTTTGAAAACCGTGAACTGACAAGGCAGGGCCTCCGGCTGGGTGCAGCCTGCAAACCTGAGTTCAGCCACTCGCCACCTGGGTCCCCAGCTCCGTCTGCTCCTCAGCGGGATTTCTAATTAACTGTGAATCCCCAAATTTCATAGTTGATGATGAACATGACTATCTTTTAGTGGAACCAAAAAGCAAAATAAATAAGAGAAAAATGAAGGACATAGAACGATCCTACAAAAATTCAAAATGCTACTTATGATGTCAGCGTCACCTTCCAAAGAACAGATGAGTAGAACACAGGCGGGGCAAGTGACTCCTGGGTCCAGTGGACCCGTCTTCACCCCGAGCACCTCAGGCTGGGAACAAGAGCCCGAGGCAGAGACTGGAAACCAACATGCAGCTTCTGGAGAAGTCGCGGGAGGAAGCCGCCACCCGGCCCGGCACGTGGAGGAAGGCCCAGCCCTCAGCGGTCACCGCGGGCTATGGCCTGGCCCCGTCTGGAGGCTGAGCGCTGTGCAGCCTGCTGACGCCACGCAGTGGCGGCCAGAACCCACTTGCCAGGGACTTGCGGCTTGGAGGCCACTGCCTCTTACTCTCCCCACCTGCCCTCCTGTGCCACTGGCCCTCGGCACAAACAGGCGAAGGCGGGTGCACACAGGAGGGTGACAGGCACAGTCACTTGTAGCTCACCACAGACCCGTGCATGAGCGGGGCGATGCCCCCGCCACAGCCCCATTTCCTTGGGGTCTCCAAGCTCATGCACACATGCGCGCACAGGGAGACTCATGCACATGTGTGTGCACACATGCCCACACGTGCGCACACACACACACCCCAAGCCCAGGTAGTTGGTGGTGCTGCGGCTCTCCACAAAAGAAATCAGTAACCCTCGCCTTTGCAGGATATTTGTCTTTTCTGAAAAGTAATGATTAGTGTGCAATTTTGTTTTATAGAGAAAAAAAATTACATTCTTCACCTCAAATGTGTTTGCCCCTGGCAACACAGGCATGTGTAAGCTATGCCAGATTTGGGGTGCATTTTTGGTATTTGTCTCTTCCGAGGCCCGACCTGCCGCCGTCAGCATGGGGGACCCTGAGGTGTGAACCCATCGGCAGGCTTCACCTCACAGCTCATTTGCTGGTGGCACAATTAGGAGATTATTTGCTGCTGAAAATTAATTTTAGCTGCTCGTTGGCGCGGCAGTGGCGGCGTGCACGCCCAGCCAGCGCCCGCTCCGAGAGCGCAGAGGCCCAGCCAGGCGAGCTTCAGAGCTTAATTCACCGAAGCCTGGATTCCGATTTCATACTTCATTGAGCTAAAACTCGTGAGGAAATGGAATCCGACATCTCTCCACGCTGAGCCTCACAGGCACACCCGCGTGTGTTCGCAGCAGCCAAGGGCGGGGGAGCGGGTGCCCCACCTTCTCCCTCCGGCTGAGGCAGGGAAGCGAGCATCGGGGTAACAGTCGGAGCCTGTCTGGGTCCAGACGCCTCAGCCAGCGCCGGGGGCTCTCAGAAGCGGCGCCAGGAGGCGCGCCGAAGCCTGGCCCCTGGAGCAGAAAGAGCCCCCGGTGCGCGGCCCTCCTCGCCTGCTCACAGAAACGTGCCAGCTTCACCGGTGGCCGCGCTGTTTGTGGTCAGCCAGCCAAGGCGCGAGTTCGGGGCCCCCCGCCGCAGGCCCCTGGCGAAGCCCCTCGGGGAGCAGCGGAGAGGCCGTCCCGCGCGGAGCGAGCGGCTTCACCACGGGCCGCGGGCGTCCCCGGCGCGCAGGGCTCGGGCAGGGCCCGGGCCTCTGGGGAGGAGGCGGGCGGCGGGCGGTGGAGGGGCCCCGGCCTCGCGCGCCCCGTCGGGAGGGGGTGCCCGGCCTCCGCGCCCCCAGGCGGCCCCACTTACTCGAGTTTCTTGAAGCGCTCGCGCCCGGCGGCCACATACTTGCCGCCCGCCTGCAGCAGCGCGTCCAGCTCGCGCACCAGGTGCCCGCGCACCGGCGTGAAGAGGCGCCGCACCCCGCAGGGCACGGCCACCTGCTCCGTGAGCTGCTCCAGCAGCGCCTCGAAGGACGCCACGCGGCGGCGCGACAGCACGAACTTGCGGCCCGCGAAGAACGGGTCCCCGTTGCGGTACACCAGGATGGTCCTGGCGGGCGTGGTGTCCACCAGCACGTGGGGCCCGCGCGCGCCCATGCCGGCCGCGGGGACCCGCCGCCCACACCCCGCCCGGCCGCTCCGCCGCTGCGCCCGCCGGGGGGCACCCCGCACCCCGCCCCCGCTCCCGCCCGCGCTGACGCGCGCCCCGCCATTGTGACCGCCCCAGGGAGGCGGCGACACAGAGCCCGGCCGGCCGGCAGGGCGTCGTGGGGGCGAGGGAGAGGAAGGGGGGTGCAGGGCCCCGACACCCACCTCCACTCCCCGCCTGGGGCCGCGGGGCCTGCCCGAACTCGCCTTCCTGGGGGGCTCGGGTCCAGCGGGCTGTGGCCTGGGGAGCAGGGGTGGCTGAGGGCGGTCCTCGGCCGGGGCTTCCCAGGACCACGCGGGCGCAGGACAGGGGCGGGGGGTGGGCGCCCATATCCAGGGCGTTGACACAGCATGGCGCCCCGGGAGACAAGGCCGCCCCTCGCCCCCCGCAACCCCCCCCCCGCGGCTCCCGCGGCCCCAAGAGCCCCCGCGGTCCCCGCGCCCCCCGCAGCCCCGAGCCCCCGCGCCCCACGAGCCCCCCCGCGCCCCCGCGCCCCCGCGCCCCCGCGCCCCCCGCGCCCCCGTGCCCCGCGCCCCTGCTCAGCAACTCCAAGGCTCCGGGCCGCGGGTCACTCTTTATTGACTGGCCGGGAAGGCGCAGGCGGTGCCCGGCACCCCCGGGGCGCGCCTAGAGGCTGCCCCGGAACCCCGCCTTGACGGAGAAGCGCAGCCCCCCCCGGGCGCGCGGCGGGCGCGCAGGCACAGCGAGCTGGGGAAGCCCCGCAGCGCAGGCGGCCCACGCCGCCGTCGGGCGGATGGTCAGGCGCGCGTGGGTGACCACGTCCTGCAGCTCGGCCGTCAGGCTGGCGAACGCGTGGCTGGCGTCGGGGGACAGCTGCAAGACAGGGCGCGTGGGGCGGGCACCGGGCGGGCACGGGCGGCCAGCGCGCCGCGGGCCCGAGGACGGCGAACTCCCGAGACCCGCCGACCGCGAGCCGGAGAGGGCGGCCGGCGGGCGGCGGGCGGGCAGCTCCCGAGGGGCGCGGCCGGGCTGCGGGAGACCCCGGCACTGGCGACCGCGAGGGCCCGAGTGGCCACCCCTGCGGCCTGTGCGGGTGTTACATGGAGCTAAGTGCAGGACGAGTCTATGCCAATAAATGGGACGACCTAGCCCTCAGAAGAAAGCGGGGGCGCCCCCCAGGGCCGCGGAGGTCGCCAGCAAGGACCTCCTCTCGCTGAGGAAGGAAACGGGTTCGCCACCCAGCGAGGAGCAGCCTCCCAGAGAGGGGGGGCCTGGCTGAGCGCGCAGGTCCTGGGGTGTTGATTCTGGGTTTGTTCACTGCACGACCCAGTGCCAGCGCGGAAGCCAGCCCTGGGACGCCAGCCCTGGGGACAGCTCCCTGCACCCGCAGGGCCCCCCTCCTGCTCCATCACAGTCGGCCGCTGGGCCGTCTGCCCGACCCACAGATGGCCTCGCCACTGCGGCTCTGAACAGGCCGCCGCCCTTGCGGACAGCCAGCAGCCTGCACACACACTGTCTGCACACGGGCGTTATTTGCACCTGATGCTGCAAGACAAAATTTGCTGACATGGCAAAAACTGAACCTGCCTTATAGCATATAAATGCCCGGTTCAGCCTCTGAAAGCCGTTTTGCTGTTACGCTGAGGAGGTTTGGAATGACAGCAGTCTTGGGGGGCAGACGGGGGCAGGCCCTAGGGACGCCGCCACTGACCTTGGTGTGCGGGAGCAGCGGCTTCCACCTGTGGCCAGGGAGGTCCCAGTTCTGCTTGATCATGTCTTCCTCTTCCTGAGTCGTCAAGACGCAGCCGTCCAGCTGACAGCTGTCCGGAGAATTGCCTGTTTGGACAGGACAAAGAGTAGGTTCCACGACCCGTTCGAGCTCAGCAGACTCTCGTTGAGACCAGATCGAAAACAGCAGAAAACAATCACGGTTCTCTCTGGAGCAGCCTCACAAGCAAGGCATGACGTGTGAGAAGAGGCCGCCTGTGGACCAGGCCGCTGGGGAGCCCGAGGTTTGGAGGCGCCGGGCGCGGCAGTCCCCTGGGCTCGGCCGGCTGGGTTAGGGGGGCGGCAGCTGTTTGGAGGTTGAGCGTATCTGACGAACCTCCTGGATTGCAGATTTAATTACTCACGTGTTGCTGTGTGGCTCATCTGAAACCATCATGAGACCGGCAGCTGTGTCAACCCTGTAACGCTGACAGTGAGGCAAAGCAGCACTGGGGGGGTTAACCAGCAACCGCACCCACAGAGCGTGCCACCCCCCCAGCATGTCTCTGGGAAGTCCGTGGGGACCCGTGCCTGTGGGCCAGAGGCCCCTCCTGGGAACCTCGCAGCTCATCGCTCCAAACAGTGGGCCGGAGCAGGGGGGCACACTTGGGACACCCCAAAGGGATGTGCTTGGAACCCAAAGAATGCTGGAGGAGGCCATCACGTGCATGTCCAGCTCTGCACATATGGTATTAGACGTGGATCCTGGCTTACCCCTCACTTCTGAGGAGCCGACGGCAACACACCTGAAACTCTGGTGTCTGGGGCGCCGGTGACCTGGGCTGACCAGTGGCTGCCTATTTATCTGAACTAGTCCCCAGAAAAATGAGCGATTTTGAACTATCCTTGCGGATGACCATGGGTTCCAGACACTCCTAGAAAAGCAGCCTGCACCACCGAGGCAGCGACACCTCTCCTGACTCTGTGGAGGCACTCAGCAGCCGTGCAGAAGGCGCAGACAGCGGCCGGCCACTCAGACTGAAACAGGCTTCCAAGCAGAAGTTTCCACGATCACATTTCTTGAGCTGGTTCATCCAAGTTCACGGCCACTGATGAGCAACCTCTTCGTAAATGTAAATATGTACTTGGTGCCCAGATGTAAGGCTTTTTTTTTTTTCCAAAAGTCATTTTTTTCCCCAAAGATTTATTTTTACTTATTTATGCATGCAAGAGCCGGGGTGCAGGCCAGAGATGCGGGGGGTGAGAGGACTCACCAGACACAGAGTGGGGAGCAGAGCAGGCAGGGTCACTGGAAATACACTGCTGAGGGGAGCAGCAGGGAGACAGGAGAGGTCAGCTGCACCCATGGGTCAGCTCCCTGGCTGGGGATCAAACTCAGGCCGCAGTAGCTGGTGATAGCTTGACAGCACTGAGTCCTAAACCCTGCGTCCCCAGGGAGGCCCCAGGTGTAACCTTTAATAACTGAGTGTTCATGCTGATTCACAAAACGGCTAGCCAGGGCCTCCCCTGGTGGCGCAGGGGTTAAGTGCTGGGCTGCGAAGCTGCCCGCAGCCTCTGCAGTGCCGGTTCAATCCCCGGCCGCCAGCGAGGGTCCCATGTGGCACGACAGACCTCTCCTGCCGCCCGCTGCTCCCCTCAGCAGTGTCCTTCGGTCCTTCTGCCTGCTCTGCTCCCCGCTCTGGCTCTGGTGAATTCTCTCACCCTCCCGCGCTTCTGACTGTACCCAGTGCTTGTATAAATACATAAATAAATCTTAAAAAAAAAAGTCTAGCCACCGGCCTCTGAGCTATGGACCTGACCTGCCACACTTGCCCAGGGCTGCGCATCCCGAGACGCCAGGCCAGTGTCGTCCACACTCCCCAACAAGCAGAGGTGCTGAACCACCTCTCGAGCTCTCAGCTTAATGACCATGTATTTTACAAGAAAGTGAGTACAGCATATCAGGGCTGCTTGTTCAGCTATTTTTTCACTAATTGAAGAGGGTGATTTTTCAAAATGATCCCTACCTTAACTTAGAGTGAAGCTTGGAGAGGAATCGGGCATCACCCCAATCAATTTGCTCAGGACCTCGCTGGGGGAGGCGCCCCTCCTCCGTCCCCTGACCAGCCAGGAGCATGTCTGAGGCTCGTTCCCACAGAGACAGTGCCCAGGGGAGCTACCTGCACCCCAGCCCCTCCGGGCACCACCCACTGCCCCCAACCCCACCCACGGTCACGACAAGGACAACTTCCCCAGCGGCCTTAGAGTTACCTTTGAAGTGTTTTGTGTCGATTTCAATCTGAGTTATCACTCCAGGGTGCGCCAGTCGGAAAACTGCCCACTCGCAGCCCTCAGAGAGGAGGACCCCTTTCTCGTCACTCTGGGGTTTGGGAAAGGGGGGTCAGCCGGGGCTGGCAGAAACCGCCCAGAGCCCGCGGGGCAGGGGCATCCTGTCTACTCTCGCACGCCCCCTGTGGGGGAGCCTCCTCAGCCGGTCCGCCATCACTTCCTGGGCCGATGGCCCCCTTGCTGTCACCCCGAGACACCCCACGCCTGTCTGGGCTCACTGGGGACTGGTCGGCTTTACACGGGATTTCCACGTCCCCCATGAATTCTCGGAGAACGTCATACCCCAAAGGGTCTTTTTCCCCCAAGCCCCCCACCCCCCAACGCCGGCTTGGCCTTGAGTGCGTGTCCCTCGGCCAGACCCGCACCAGCGGCCCCTGGGCTCAGCCGTCTCTACCCGCCAGAGTTACTCGTTTCCGTGGGGAAACGCCCAGTGACAGGAAAAGCACCCCAAGCCGGGGTTTGCGGCTGAGTCCCGGGCCTGCGCAGGGAGGCGCTCTGCCCGCGTCCTTATCCCCCGGGAGGCCCTGGGCAGGCAACGCAGCTCCTCTCAGAGCCCAGCTGTCCACGACGTCCCCGCCCGGGCGCAAGCACTGAAAATGCGCAAATGGGTGTTTCCCCAGGTTTCCCCACGGGCCTGCCTGGCGCGGGCCGGCACATGAAAGCATAACAGGGGCCGACCCCCGCGAGCCGCAGCCGCCGCGGCCAGCCCTGGCCTCCTGGGCCCTGGCACTGAAATAAAACAGCAGGAAATTTGCAAGATGTGGGGAAGCGACCGGCGCTCGGCACGGCGCTGACAAGGCTCCGGGAGAAGAGCTTCCCAGGTGTAGACGGAAAATTAGAGCTTAGAAAACCTTGACCCGCGGGCTTGGAACTCCTTGCCTCTAGTATCGGGGGCCTGTCCGGCCTTCGCGCAGTCTCCCAGCCATCGGCCATGGACTTGGCCTTGCCCACTCCTGCAAAGAACAATCGCGTGATGTGATTTTAAATGAGGATGGACGAGCGGCCACAGGCCCGCGCCCCCGAGCGCCGCGAGGCGGCCGCTCTCCCTGGCGGCGGCATTCCGGCAGATTCCCGCCCAACTGTAAGGGCGAGCGATTGTACGTTTCCTTTTATAATAAATGCTTAGGCCACAGTTAGGAAGGAAAAACGCTACTGATCTTTATGTCGTAAACATCAAACCCCAATATCTGGAGAGTCATAACGCCCCCAAGCTTGGACCCGGGCCTTCTCCCCAGTGCTCCACGCCAGACCAGGGTTACCGCCAGCGCCCAGACTGCTACATGACCACCCTGGGGCATCTCCTCACCGATCATATTGTTTGGGTGCCCAAAGTGGGCATCACTGAACCCCACGCAGGCTCCCCCGTAAGCGATGGCCACCAGGTCTAGAGGCTCCGTGGAGTCGGTGGCCATCCAGTCCTTGTGTCCGGTGCCGTACACTCGGAGCCGGGCGATGCCGCCGTCTGCAGAGGACAGAGGCCGCTGTAATCTCTTACTTGGGAAAGTGACTGCTTGGGGACCACAGGCCAGAAAGCCCTCTGCGGGGCCGCCCTGCTCCCAGATCCCCCAAGGCCCGGGCCCGGCGCGCCACGCCCTCTGCTGGACGAGTCCCCCCTCCCCAGAGACCACTGCTCTTCTGAGGGCTCCACAGCTGTGCCGCCGCCTCAGAGGGCTTGTCCTCCTGCTCCCCTCAAGCTTCCCCTCCTGCTCCCTGGCCTGCCTGATACCCCAGGTCTGGGTCACCATCCCCACCCCACCCCCTGCCATTTTACGCCACAGGGTTAATCCCAGTTTGAAATCATCTTTCTCAGTCTGAGGCTTTCATATCAGTCTCCCGAAACAGGACAGAGTCCTTGAAGGTCAGAGCCGCTGTCTGCCCCTACGTTTGTGTGGCATTAGGGGAAGGAAAAAGCATCAGGCTTTTCTGCCCTCCCGCCATTAGGATAGATGGGGGAGCCCCGTGGTCCTGAACACATGCCTGATGGCGGCACCTGCAGCGGGTGCACCTGGGCTGAGAGACTGTGTTTATAAGGCGGCGGCACGGGGACGCCAGCAGAAGCCCAGAATGAACGGAAGCCGAGAGAAGAAGAGAAGCAGAGAGAACGCCAGAGGGCCCAGATAGAGTGAGGATGTTCTGGGGCTGGAAGGCCTGCAAGCCTCTGGGCCCCCCAGCACCCCTGCCTGCCGTATGCCTGGTAAATCCCAATAAAAGACCTGCAAAAGCCACTGAGGCCTCTGACTCCTCCTTTACCCGGTCTGCTAGGTCAGAAAACCTGCTCAGCGCACAGTTCCTGCCCCTACAGGCGTCCACCCAGCGCCCAGCCTGTCACTGGCGCTCGTGCTTTTGTGGGTTTATAGTGCAGGAAGGTCAAAGGGCCTGGGGCTCCTTCAGGGACCCCCAGGCGCCTGAGTCAGTAGTGCCGGGTCCCACTCAGGCCCACTCCAGGGCTTGTGTCGTCCAGAGACGGGGCAGGTGAGCGCTCTCCAGGCCCAGCGCCGGGAAGGCAGAGCTGCCGAGGGCCCGTCACCTGGCTCCGACTTGTTAGAACTTTCTAGAAGGTGGAAGCCAAGCTTTCGTAGAGAAGCTGGGGGTCATTAAAAGCATCCCACTGAGACCAGCCCCACAGATGCTTACACGGAAAGGTGGTGAGACTGAGCGAGCAGGAAACATCTGGGGGACAGCGGCCGCCGACCCTTTTGGACAGACGCACAGCGGCACTGGCACAGACGGGGTGCGCGGGGCAATTGGTAGGCTGGGCTAGGAGCAGTGCCCCCACCCCACCCACCCCCCCCGCCATCGCCCCGGACCACTGGGAGGGGGGCTTGTGCCACAGCGCAGAGTGCCAGAAGCAGGAAGCGCCCCCGGAATGCCGAGGGCGACCCCATGGAAGCCCCCCTCCCCCACCTCCCGACCCCCCTGCCAGGCACCAGGCTCAGGCGACACTCCCACTCCCGCAGCTAGTCACGCCGCCAGCAGGGCTGGGCTTTTCCAGGATATGAAAATAAAGCTCACACACTAACCTCAGAAACTTACTTCAAAGGAACTGCTTAATTAGATTGGTATATGGAGCAACTTATGCCCAAGGCGCTGTTGAAAAGCAATCGGATGGCAATTAGTGCAGTTAATTGTGATGTGATCAGGGAGAGGCAGTGGGGGACACCAGCCCCCCAGGGTCACCAGGGCACCCCGGTGCGTGCCTCCCCTCGGAGCCGCCAGGCGAAGCCGCCTCCCTGAAACGGCACAGCTAGCAGTGACGCAAGTGCTGGAACAAGCCCAGAGGGGCCCTGCGCCAGCGTGGCCGCCACTAGCATCAGAAACGTCGGGCTCCGAAAACACATCAGGAGCCGGCCGGGACAGGAGCGCCGGCCCCTGCGCGGAGCAGCCAGAAGCAGAGGCCGCCTGCGAGAGCTGCTGCCCCTGCAGATCCCAAGTGTCCGCTGACAATGTGCGCAGATCGCTGCGGGAGGGGAGGCCGCGGGGAAGCGTGAAAGGCACGAGAGCAAGGCCGGGCAGAGCCACGGCCCAGCGGCAGGAAATCTGGCCGAGAAGGACGCCGGCCACAGTGGGAGCGCCCCGGGCAGCGACAGGTCTGCGCCAGCGGAGGAGGGTGGGCCTGAGGACAGGCAGCCAGGGACCTGACGGACCCAGAGTCCAGGGCAGAGACGCTGCACGAGCAAGGACAGGGAGGACAGTGATCAGCTGGACCGGCCACTCCGAGGAGGTGCCGGGCAGCGAGCCCGCGGGGGAGGGCACGGAGCAGGAAAGCGCGGCTGAAGCAAATTGGTTATAACTAGGGAGGAAATGGAGAAATCAGAACCTTCGTCCACTGAAGGCAGGAGAGTAGAACTGACGGCTGTTTTGGACAAGAGTCCACTGTGGCCCCGCAGTCCCGGCCCTCGCTACAGACAGAGGCAGAGGCAAGGGGAGAGAGACATCCGGGGGGAGGGGACGAGTCACAAGCGCTTGCACAGCAACAGGTAGAGCCGCAACACTCATAAGCAGCCCACAAGTGGGAGTGGCCAACGTGCACCGCGCTCAGCCAAGGAGGGGTAAAGCGCTGACGCCCGCCCCGCACAGGACAGCCTGGAAACACGAGTGGATGTGTCAGGGCTGCCGCACGGTCCTGCCCACCGGAGCGCCCAGCAACGTCCGGTCTCTTGGAGGGAGGTCCGTGGAGGGAGAGGGCTACAGGGCCAGGCCTCTCTGGGGGTGATGAGAATGTCCTAAGATGGTGGGGCGAGGGGCGCCCACATGCGGTGCGGTCACACACACACGGGGACCTGCTGCCCACGTGAGCGAGAGGCCTCCTGGGCGGGTGACTGCCTGCTCCACAGGCTGCGCCCCACGCAACACACTCACCCACGAGGATGCCCGTGGGGAGGGTGTCCCCAGGGCCCAGCTAGCACAGCCGGAGCCACCGCAGCCAACCGGCCTGACGGCTCTGGGCGGCCACCTCCGGACGGGGGGTTGAAACAGAATTCCACGCACAAAGGGCAAGTGACCCCACGGGGCCAGAGGCCGCGGGGACTGCGAAGGAAAGACACTTTCCCTCTCCGTGTTCTGAACCTGCAGACACGAGCCGCGGGAGCCGGAGGGGCCCCAGGGGCGGAGACTCACCCGGGAAGATGTTCAGCCTCACGTGGGTCGACCTCTGCTGCGCGGCGACTGCGAAGTAGTTGTGGCCGGCGGCGGGCCTCCCCGGGGCGAGCTCCACCATGGGGACCAGGTGGTCCCACCCGTCCGACTTGAGCTGCGATAAATTCAAAACGCAGCACCGGGCGGAGTGAGCACCCCCGAGTGCCCAGCGGCGGCGCCCAGTCCCGGGAGACGCGGGGATAAAAGCAAAAAATGGGCACAAAGACCGAGTGCACGTTTAACAGTAAACAGAATAAAGGCCTTTCCCCACGCTGATCAAAACAGCCACCGGGGTGTGGCGGCAGCTGGTGGCCAGGAAGGGCCGGGGACTGGCGCGAGCAGCCCTCGCGGCCAGCCTCCAGGCCAGTGCCTCGCCAGTCAGCAGCCCTCCCGGTTGGCATTTTATTCCGCAGCATGGCCCCCACCAGGCGTGTGGCCCAGAAGCTGATGAAGAGGCGAGCGTCAGAGGGCACCCAGCACCGCCCGGCTGTCCCATCAAACCCGCCTGCACCAAGTCACCTTGGCCAGTTGCGGAAAGGTAGCCTAAGCGTCACGGTCAGGTCCTGCATTTACCTCACTTGCCAGCCGCCGCCCGCGGGGGCCCTGCTCAGAGGCCTGCCCTGCCGCAGGCGTGGCCCTGCCCCAGGCCTGGGGGTCCCTGGACACCGGGGCGGCGCTGGGAGAGGGGTGAGCTGCGGGGTGGACTGTGCCCAGAAAGGCCAGCGCCAGGCTGGGCAGCCTCCTCCCCTGCTCCCATGTGACATGCCTGGCCCTTTCTGACGTACCTTGGCGATGGCCTCAAACTCCTCCAGGCTGGCCGCCGTGCCTGTCCTGGCCTCCCTCTTTGGGATTTCCAGCTGTTTATCTGCGGAGAGGGGCCATGGAGGGTGGGGGCCTTTGGGACCAGTGACTTCGCCCCGGGGTGCACGCCGGGGAGACCGTTGCTGCGCCGGGCGCAGGGTGGCCAGGTGACAGCCACACCTGAATCTGTGCAGCATTTAAAACACTACCAGCAACTGCAGACGATCACACTTGATAGCTCATGCGCGCGCCAAAATACCAGCGTCGATCCCAAGTCGAGTCAAACTCCAGCTCGGCCCAGCTCTCGCGCTTCCCAGAGCTAGGTGGGGAGATGGGGCTGCTGGCCGGGCAGCGCCAGAAACACTGCGCCCCGGGGCGTCCTCAGAGACAGGAGCCCTGAGCTGGGCGGGCACTCCCCGGAGGTGCCCGCCCCGTCCCTGGCACTCCTGCCTGTAAAGCAATACCCACAGCTCCCCGGAGCCTGCTGTCCGCCGGGAGCAGGGCCGCGCCCAGCACTGTGCCTCCCTGCCAGCCCCAGGGCACCAGCCAGGCCTGTGCCTGCCCCAGTGGTGCTCCTTAAAGAGTTGGCGCCCAGCAGCCGGCGGCGCCAAAGACACACGGGCGCGGTGGGTGAGACTGGCGGCCGCGCGGCCAACTCCCCAGACACAGACGGGACCTGCATGCGCCCCGTGGCTGCTGCGGGATGTGGCTCAGGGACGCCCTGAGCAGAGCTGGTGCCAACGCCGCCCGCCAGCCCCAGATCTGACTCCACAGGCCCAGGGCCCCTCCCGGCAGCTGCTCACATCCCGGAGGCACAGCCCGCGCGGCGTGAAGAGCGGGCAGAATGACGTGAACCCACAAGGCCCAGGTCACAACACAAGCAAACACCCAGCCACACCCTGTGGCCAGCCCGCTCCGGGGTGGAAGGGACCTGCCCTGCCCGCCTCTCTGGGCCCGCGGAGCCCAAGGCACCTGCTTCCAGGTTCGCGGCTTGAATGGACACCCGCGGGGCATAGTCTCCGGTGAAGTAAGAGATGTCCACGTCGAAGCCCCTGATGATCCCGGGGATCCCCAGCTGGATGACGCACCAGTCGTGACCTGGGCACACATGATAGGAGACCCCATTAGAGCAGTCAAGGCAGCTGGACACAGCTCGGGGAGCAGTTGCGGCCCCCCAGGCCCCTCAGGTCTGCTGGGCTGCGCTCAGGCTCAGAGACCCGCTGCCCTCGGCAGGCGCCTGGGACCTGGGCCTCCGCCCTGGCGATGGGAGCTGGGGTACGGGCCTCCAAGAGTTCAGTTGTGGATGCGGGCGCCACCTCCCGACTCCATGACACAGGGGGGCTGGGCATTTCTGCTAGCCCCCCCCCCCCCACGCCTCCCCATGTCTGCCGACGCCTGGACTCCAAAGCTGCAGATCCCGCTCCCTGCGCGGCGGCGCCAGGCCAGAGTCCGGCGCTGTCTGGGGCACCACGGAGGCACCCGAGGGCTGGCGGCCCCTGCGGTGAGGGGGCCCTCGGCTGGGTTCCGGTGATGTGGCCCCACTAAGCGAGTGAGGCACCTACTCTGTGCTGCGGCGAAGACCACAGGAGGCGACTGGCCAGGACCTGCCCGGTGCTGTCCCCGCCGCCCTCAGCGCCCCTCTGTTCTCATTTCCCAACAAAGGGCTTGCGTCCGCCTTAGTGACAGATGACCGGGCCAGCCCCGTCCTGGACGCACCGGGCCAGCCTGCCCCCGGACACAGCGGGGCCGCCCCACAGGCTCACCTGGGACCCGCCTCCTCCTGGTCTCCCAGCCGTCCATCCGCCGCCCGAACTCCGTGTACTCGCCCTCCTCCAGCCGCGGGCCGCCGCTCTGCAGCACGGAGACAAGGTGGCGAGTATCGCTCACACGGGAGCCTGGGCTTCCAGAAAAGGCGCTTCTGCCCCCAAAGGGCGGCGGGGTCGTGCCAACAGGGCTCCTGGGCGTCCCGGGCAGGGACGGGCTGCCCCCCCCACTCGGCCCCCTGCACAGATGAGCACCCCAGTCAGGGGCTCACTCTGCTCCTCATCGTCCCTCAAGACAGGCTGCGCTTCTCGTGGGCTGCCGGCTTGGGGCCAGCCCTGTCGGCCGGAGCCAGGCCCACCTCACGGGCACCCCCACCCGCAGCGCCCACGGCTGTGAGTGAGGATGGGAACTGAAGTGTCCAGAGAAACTCAGAAAAGATGGACACACGCTTGGTCCCGCATGAGAGGGAGAACAGCCAGAAGGAGAGCGGGGCCTGACCCCTGGCCACTGGAGCAAGGCCCAGCTCAGCCCTTGCCCCAGCAGGCTGCTGTGCAGAGGACAAACATGTCCTTGGAGAAAAGAAGTAAAAGCCAAGGGCCCTGCGCAAGGACAAAGCCCCCGGGCAGGGCCCTGCAAGGGTCACGGCTGCGAGACGGCCGCAGCCAAGGCGGAGGTGGTGCCCCGGCCCCCAGTGCACGTGGGTTCCAGGCGCAGGCTGAGGGGCAGAAACTGCCAAGGAGCTGGGCAGCGACCGCAGGGCAGCGGCCCTGGGGGGCAGGCCAGGCGAGGAGGCCCCTGCAGCCCTGGAGAGGGATGCGGCCGGCAGACGGAGCGCCCGGGCTGCATAGCTGCAGCAAACACCTGCGGCCTGAGTCAGCTGGGCACCTGCCTGCCCGCCCAGAGACGGCGCCCAGCCCCAGCCCGGCTGGCGCTGAGACACGCACCACCCACAAGACGCCCCAAAGGGCCTGAGGCCAGTCTGCAGAGCTGGCAGGCTGCGGGCTCCGTGTCTGAGGCCCATCACTGGCACAGCCCCCAGGTCCGCCCGACCTCGGGCACACGCAGGAACGGCGCGGCCACGCCAGTGGCGCCCACATCAGACGTGGCCTCACCTTGATCAGGTTCTCCGCGGGAGCAAAAAAGTCATCTGTTGAAAATAAAACCTGTGACAAATAAAGACAGAAAACACACGTTAAGAAGCTGCTTTTCCACCCCCAGGAGGCGCCGCGAGACCAGCGAGGGCGTCAGGGGGCCGGCCCCGAGCAGCACGCGGGGAGTCTGCGGGCGTCCAGACCATGTCTGCCCACGCAGTGTCCACGCCCTGTCCTCGGCCCCCGTGGCCACGGGAGCCAGCGCTCACTCGGACGCGCGCCGGCCTGTCTGGGGGAAGGCGATCCGGTCCCAGGGCCGGGGCCAGAGCCTGAGACTGGCAGGTCCTGAGCCAGCCACGTGGGGTGTCCCCGTCCCTGCCCCTGGGGGGCGGCCCCGTCCCTGCCCCCCTGGGGTGTCCCCGTCTCTGTCCTGAGCACACTCACCCTTCCTCCCACGGACTCAGAGGCCATGTCAATCAGCCTGGTGAAGTCTGGGGTCCTGGCCCGCTTCCCCTCCTTGGGCGCGTCCGCCGCGGTTCCTGGGAGAACGGCAGGCCCGTCAGCCCCTGGTGAGGAGGGCAAGACGCGAGCGAGACCCCAGACCCGCACAGGCGTGGCCCCGGGAGTGTCCCCGGGCCCGAGGCTGAGCTCCGCAGGCTGAGACGGGGCGGCGCCCGTCTGGGGGTGGGGATGAGACACACGCACCCCGTAGCCATGGCGTGAGGTGTCTTACCGAGGGGTCGCGCCTGGCCTGGGGAGTCAGGGCACAGATGGGGGCAGGCCCGCGGGGCTCACGGCTCGGGCAGCATCCCCCTCACCACAGCTGAGCCCCTGCCCGGTCCACACCGGCCGCCAGCACCGCCCTCCTCGGGCAGGCTCAGCAGGGAGAGGCAGAGGGGGCATGGCGGGGCCTCCCAAGAGCCGCACCCACTGTGGCAGGTGTGGCAAGGAACTCGAGGGACCATCAGCACTCGGGTCTGTCCATCCCACAGGTTCCTCCTGTCCTTCTGATGGGGGGGGCCGCACTGCTAACCACCCGCCCCAGCTGGCCTGGAACGAAGCAGGGCCTCCCGGCCTCTGCCCTTTTCTCTGGCCTTCTCGTGGGCCCCGGTGACCGACCCCCCGCGGCAGGTGCCCGAGGCGGCTCCAAGCAGGGGGAGCCAGAGAGGCCTGTCCAGGCCTCCGTGCGGGTGTCCGTCTCCACGCTCCGGGTTTTGTATTCATGTCCAAGTCAGTGACTTGGAAGCCGTCCCGCAGCTGTGGTCAGGCCTCAGCGCCCGCCAGCCGGAGCCCAGGCAGAGGGGCAGCCCCAGCAGGGTACGGCAGCCACCCAGGCCCACGGCTCGCCCCCACAACGGCGCCACCTGTGACAGGGCCGGCGTTGCGCCCCCAAGTGAAATCTAGCCCTCGAGAACCTCTGTCTTTATCGGCAGAAATGAATTTACTTTGGGGCAGAAAAGTCTCCTGCTGCTTCCGCTCCCTGCCCCACCTGCGGCTTCTCTGGGGATGAGGCCTGTCCACCCCCCAGCTGGCGGGAGTCACTCCTGCGCCTCCCTCGCCGGCCAAGCCCCCTGCAGCTGGGCGTCACGTGGACATCAAGGAAAAACCACCAGACTCTGTGAGAGGCTTCAGGCCCCGGGCAGATCGCAAAGGAGCAGGAAGCTCCCTGACAGTGTCTAGAACACCCAGGGCACGGGGCGCTAGCCCAGGCTCTCTCCTCCCCACCCCTAAGGGACTTTCACTCTGGAGGGCTGCCCCAAAGGTCACAGACGTGTCCAGTGACCTCCCGCCTCAAGGACGCCCTCAGCCCCGCTGCCCAGCCAGCGCCTTCCCTTCCAGCCACTGTGGACCTGCTGTGCGCCGGCCCCTGAGCCCCTCCTCGCGAGCTGTCCACAGCCCGTGCAGGGAGCCAAAGCTGCCGCCCCACATATGTCTTTCCAGCAGAATTTTTTCAGGTGAGGGCTCTGGGGCCCAGGGGCACAGCCTCTCCCGGGAAGGACCGTGCGGGGGTGCCCGCTCTGAGAGGAGACACACCTGCACCCCTCGCCCGCCAGGAGGCCTTCTTGTAATCATGTGTTTATTCATCTCCAAGAGTGCCAGTCACGCAAACTAAAGCAGGAACACACTCGGGGCCCCCGCCCCCCCAGGATGCTCACGCCCCTACACTGCGTCCTACCGGCTGGCCTTGCAGGTGGTGCCAGGGCCAGTAGTTCCCACCAGTGCCAAAGGGCAGCAGCGCAGCAGCCTCGGGGGCGCGGGCCAGCGGCCAGACCAGGTTAAGCCTGGGCCACCACCAGCTGGCAAAGGTGGCGGGGAGGGCCAGGGAGGGCTGAGGAGGGCTGGGGAGGGCCCCCAGCTCTGCTGGCTGTTCCCTGCCTTCCAGGAGATGAAGCAGGTCTATGCAGGATGCAAGCTGCAGGCCTGACCGCTCTCCCGCCCACGAGGCTGCGGGGATGGGGGTGCAGGGGTCACCAGGAGCCCCACTGAGTCACACAAGCTGCAGGAAAACATTCCATGCGAGGGGACGGGCTCCCCTGACACTCAGGCTGGGGCGAGGCCGGTGGGGGCGGCCAGAGGGCGGTGTCAGGAGCTGCTGGGGGGTGGGATGCTGCTGCACAGTGGGAGGCCGCCCCCATTTCTGATGCAAGAGCCTGACCCTGCACCTCCAGCCAGTCCCTGCCCTCACGTGAGAAAAGGGGCCGGGAGGGCCTGGAAGGGGGAGGGGTCAACCTCTGGCCACAGGGCACCCCTCAAAAGCCTTGGCCCCAAGCATGCGCCCCCGCGGGGAACGGAAGGCAGCCCGGGAGGCCCGTGGCTGGGGGCTCAGCGGAGGGGCCGGAGGTGAGGAGCATCCCGCCAGGCCGGGCAGGCAGGTGGGGTCCTGGCCTCAGGCCCCGGGTCTCCCGGGAGCCCGGTCATCGCTGGGGTCGGCTCTTCCCGCACTTTTGTAAACACCAAAGTCACCGCCTCAGCCCCGGCACCCAGCCGAGCTTCTCACCTCGCAGGGGGTCCCAGCCTGAGGCCGGAACCCCGTGTTTCTGTCGCCCCCAAAGCCACGCCCAGGGCGGCCGCCGTGACCCGCCCTCTCACCGGCCATCGTCCAGGCTGGCGGGCGCTCCTCGGCCGGGCTGTCTGGGCCCCTGCAGGCCAGCCAGGCCCCAGGGCAGCGGCAGCGCGGAGAGAATGGAGGGGCCGGCGGGAGGGGGGCCCCTGGAGACGGGCTGCGCCGGGTGATGTCACAAGGGCTGGGCCCCGGGGCTCCGAGGGGGAGGCGGGAGAGGCAGGCGAGCCTGGGCCAGACCCTGCAAAGGGGCCGAGCCAGAGCTGGGGTGGACCCCAGAAAGGGCCCTCGGCCGGCAGGCCAGGCGCACCCTGACCCCGGGCTAGAGGCTGTCTCAGGGTCAAGCCCCGCCTCAGGTACTGGGGCTCAAGGCTCCCCCAGATACCGGTGTCCCCGCCAGCACGCGAGGCCGAGGGAGAGCGCCCAGAGCCAGGCGGCAGCACGGAGGCCACGGCGGGCTGCCCACGGGCACGGTGTCTGGACCCCACCGTCGGCAGCACAGCACAGACCCCCGAGTCCGGGCCGCCCGCTGCCGTCGCGAGACTGTCCCGCGTCAGTGCGACCCAGGCCCTGACCCTTGGCAGAGAGGACACCGAGGCCCTGAGGTCGGGGTCTAGTCCACAGCACCGGCCCGTGAGAGCTGAGCAGCCTCCTGTGCCTGGGGGTACGGGGTGCCCCTGCCCTATCCTCTCTGCTGGGGCCTGGCCCCCCCAGTCTCTCCCTGGTGCAGTTGGCCCTTGAAAAGTCTGGAAGCTGCTGGCCACACCCACTGTGGACAAGCCCCCACTCAGCCATGGCAAGTCTCCTTCAGAGGGACGCTGGCCACTGCCCGCGGTCTGCTGCTCCGGGCAGCTACGTCCGTAGACAAGGTGTGACGCCCTCCCCTGCGTCTGTCACAGCCCCCCAGTGCACTCGCTGCGCCCCAGGTCACCCCAGACTTGGGGCACACAGCAAAGGCCAGGCTCCTCTCTTGGCTCCTCTGGGTCCCTGGCAGGGCGTGGACAGCCAGGGATGCCCAGGGCCAAAGGCGCCGCTGGCCCTCGCTCCCTCCAGGCCCAGCCCTGTGGCCAGGACGGCTGTCAAGGCGCCTGCTCCCACGGTGCCCTGGGAGCCCTGGGGTCCCGGTTCCTGCAGTCCCCACAGGGCTGTCCTGCGGGCAGCTGTGGGCGGTGTCCAGGACAGGGGCCGCTGCTCCAGGCCAAGCGGAGGGAGCTGATCTGATGAGGCTAAGAGACGCTTCCATCAGCCACGTCCCGGCATTCAGAGGCCACATGGGCAGCCCAGACGGCCCGTCCTTCCCGGCCAGCTCGTGGGGCAGCCTCGTGGGGACCCGGAGGGACGGAGAGGTGGCCCGAGCCCCCCAAGGGGTTCTGGGGGCCGCCTACGGGCTCCCATGCGCCCACCTGTGCCCTGCCAGGCACCAGGAACTGCTGGGGGAAGGGGGGGGGGACACGGATGCGCTACAGGGCGTGCTCCGGGCCACATGCCAGGGTCCCGGGGCCCTGGGCGGCCAGTGGGAGCTGGGCCCTGAGACACGGGGCTATGGCTGCCCTGGGCGGCTCGGGGAAGCAGGCCCTGATGTGGAGGGAGGCTGGCGCGCAGGACCCTCGCCGTCCCCCGCGGGTGGGCAGCAGGCCCCCCTGGCCCCCAGGATACACAGCTCTGTGGCAGGATGACAGCCCCCCACGTGTCCAGACGTGAGGAGCTGGAGCTGGGCTCCCCACCTCGCACCAGGACGCCCCCCTCCCGGCCCTGCAGCCGCAGGCCTGGAGCCCAGCCTGGAGCGGGCATGGCAGCGGGGGCGCAGCCGCGCAGGCGGGGACAGCCGCGGGGTGACCCTGGGGCGTCCCTTCCACCCCGCCCTGGCCGCGCCGCACCCACCGCTCCTGAGCCGGCGTCCGCCCCGCGCTGGGCCCCGCCGGCTGCGTCTGCGGACCGGTCCGGCCCGAAGCAGGGAGCCGGCCCGGCCCGCGGGAGGCCCGAGGAGCCACCGCTCCCGCTGCCCGCCGGACACTCGCGGCCACGGGCGCCGCGGCTGGGCCGGAGAAGCGCCCGCCGCGCCCTTTGCTCGCCGTCCCGCCCTCGTCCTCGCGCGCCCGGCCCGCGCCCGCAGGCGCGCGTGCAAACACACGCACACGCGCGCGCACACGCGCACGCACACGCCCCCGCCGCGCGCCCTGCGCCTGCCGCGGCCGCTAGGGGGCAGCGCCGCCACACGGACCGGGCAGCGCCCGCCAGCCGCACTGGCCCCCCCGCCCGCCCCCGCCCCCGCCCCCCCCGCCCGCCCCCCCCCCCCCCGCCCCCCGCCCCCGCCTGCCGCCCCCGCCCCCGGGCGCCCCGCGGCCGGGCTCGCCAGGCCGTGGGCGGCGGTGCGGCGGGCACGCGGCTGTGACTCGCCCACCCCGGCGAGGCCGCCCGGGCACCGAGGCCGCGGGCAGGGCTGCGCCCCGCTGGCACCGCCGCGAGTGAGCCGGCCCCCCAGCGCGGGCCTGCTCCCCGGACCCGAGGCACCGTGGGCGCAGCCCCCACCCGGGCGCCCCTAGAACAGAGACCAGGGCTCCCCGGGAGACTGGAAGGACGCACACAGGGTCAGGACCCGCGACCTGCAGCTGCTGGGGGTCAGGCTGTCGCCCTCCCTGCCCAGGCCGCTCCTGGGCTCCTGCCTGACCACGCACGGCCTGGGGCAGGAGGGGCCTCTGGCGAGGGCCCCAGGGCCAGGCCACAGCTCTGGGCAGGTGGGCCACAGGCCTGCAGCTCCAACTGCCCGGCCGGGTGTGGACAGTGGCGGCTCCTGCATGGCGGGCGCTGGGCCCACCTCCTGCTCCCTGAAGACAGAGAACGTGCGTCCACCCCCACAGGCGCACATCAGACACGGGGAGCCCGTGGGTCTGCGCCGGCCTGGGCCAGGGGCTTCCTGACATGACCAGTGTCCACAACAACTTCCAGACAGGGTGTGTCCTCTCTCCTTGCTGCCGGCCACGAGCCCACCAGGCTCCCAGACCTGGCCACCCAGGGCCTGCCCACGCCTGCCCCAGCCAGCCAGGTGCCACCTACGTCCCGAGCTCGCCCTGGGCGTGTGGCAGGCAGCCCGGGCAGGGCTGCGTGTGGCCTGCCCGCGGGGAGGCCGTCTCCACAACAGAGGACAGCCGCCCACTGCCACGGCCAGCCCCTCCTTCCCGGGAGGCAGCAGACAGGGCCTTGCGTGGCTTCCGGGCCGGCCAGCTGCACAAGCTCCCTTTACAGGGCGTCTGGTAGAGCCGCTGGTCAGACCCCACCTGTGACCCTCAGGACAGGAGGCCCTGGGGATCCCTCCCCTGCCCGGCTCTGCCCATGAGCACTCCTTGTGCTGCTGAGAGAAGTGGGGGTGTTACCCCTTTTCCCCGGGGATGCGGGGTGCAGAGTGGGACTGTGGTGGCCGTGGGGTCCTCCCGCAGGCGCCCTGCTCCCATCCCGGTGCCCTCCGCGGGCCGGTGCCCTGGTGACGCGGTGTCGGGCAGGTCCGGCGCGGCCTGCTGACCGGCGGCCCCCTCGCGGCCCTGACCACGCCTGTCCTCCGGGAGGCGAGCGGAGCCCAGCGTGGGGCCGGTCCCGGGTGGACGGTCCTCACCCCGGGCGCGGGCGGAAACCGGCTGGACAGCCGGAGCCCCAGGGCCGGCGCGCCCCGCCCGTCCCCTCGGAGTTTCTGTCCCCCCTGAAGTCTGGCCGGGAGCGGTAGAGCTGCCCCACGCGAGGCGGCGGGAGGAACGTGCGTTTAATGCCGGTTACAGAAGCGGACCCAGGGCGGGGCCCGGCGGGCGGGCGGGTCCCGGGGGCGGGCGGCGCGCGGCGGGCGCGGCCTCACACGCGCTCCTTGTCGAACTCGCAGAGGAAGTGCAGCGCGGCGTGGCAGGCCACGTCGTTCCAGCCGCCCGAGGCCTCCAGCTCCACGCAGTCCTCGCCGTCGGCCGCGTCGTTGGGCTCGCCGCTGCGCCAGCGCTGGAAGGTCTGCATGGGCGAGCGGTCGGCGTAGACGAAGGTGCCCTCGCGCTCCAGGTCGTTGATGCCGATGAAGACGCGCGCCAGGCCGGCCTGCGCCAGGTAGGCGGCCATCAGGCGGTTGGCGGCCTCGTCCTTGGGCATGCCGAGGTGGCCGCCGCGGCCCTGGCAGGCCAGCTGCGCGTCCGCGTAGCGCTTCTCCTCCTTCACCAGCAGGTAGAGCTTGTGCTCGGACTCGCGCACGCCGGCCACGGCTGCGGGGGGGGGCGGGGAGGGGGCAGGGGGGGGCTGGCAGGTGAGCCCAGCGCTGGGCCCTCCGGGGGGCGGGGGCGGAGCCTGGAGCCGGCGGGGCGGGCGCGGGCGGAGGGGCGGGGGCTGGAGCCGGCGGGGCGGGCCTGGAGCCGGCGGGGCGGCGGCGGCGGAGGGGCGGGGCTGGAGCCGGCGGGGCGGGGCCTGGAGCCGGCGGGGCGGGGCCTGGAGCCGGCGGGGCGGGGCGCGGGCCGGAGGAGCGGGGCCTGGAGCCCCTGAGGCGGGGCGGGGCGGGGCGCGGGCTGGGGGCGGGGCCTGCCAGCTGGAGGGGTGCTGGAGGGGTGCTGGAGGGGTGCTGGAGGGGTGCTGGAGGGGTGCTGGAGGTGCGGGCGCGGCGGGGCGCGGGCTGGGGGAGGGCGCTCGGGCACGTACCGCTTTTTATGAATTTCAGCTCGGCGGTCAGCTGGGTGACCTGGTTGTCCATCTCCCCGACGGCCTTCCGCAGCTGGCTGCACTCGCAGGGGAGGCCTGCGGAGACCGGCCGGCCGCGAGGTGAAGCCTCGCGCGCAGGGCGCTGCGCCCGACGGGCGGTCTCGGCAGCGCGGCGGGCGCTGCGGGCCGGGGGTTGGAGAGCGTGCGAGGACCGGGACGCGGGCGCCCGGACACCCCTCCGCCGCGGGAGGGGCCTGGGGGAGCGCGGGTCCGGCTCCTGCGGGCGCCCCCAGGACGCAACGGCGCTGGGGAGGGCGGTGGGAGCGCGGCCGCGGGCCTGGGGGGCTGGCCAGCGGGAGGTGGGCCCGGCTCTGCCTGGGCAGTGGCGCTTCGGGGCGAGCGGAGGGGAGCCCCCTCGGGCGGGCGGCCTGTGGGCGGCGGGAAGGGTCTGCGCGCCGACCGGGAGCGCGGCCCGGGGCCGGAGAGGGGCGGGCGGCTCCGTGGCGGGGCAGGAGGGTGGCACCCGAGGTCCGCACAGCTCCAGAGCGGCAGGCGGGGTGTCCCCCGGGCCTCGGGAAGCAGGTGAGGCCGGCGGAGGGCCCGCGGGCCCTCGCGCCCAGGCAGACGCGCCAGGCGAGGCCCCAGGGCAGGGCCCCCAGGCCGGGCGGCACGGGGAGGGCTCTGGGGAGAACCAAGTCGCCCCGGCCTGACCGGAGGGCGGTGGCCTGAGGGGCGCGCAGGGAGGGGCCGGCGGGGGGTGGGGGCGGGGGGGCAAGGGGGATGGCTCGGCCGCGGGTTCGCGCCCCCGTGTCGCTGCTGCTCCAGGCACCTGCGGCGCGCGGGGAGCACAGCCCGGCCCCAGCCTCGTCTCCGGGGGCAGCGGGCGCGAGGCCGGCCCCTGCTGAGCCCTCCCCGTGCCGGGCCCGGGCTCTGCGCGCCCCCCAGCCCCGGACCCGCCCGCCGCACACCCCAGCAGCGGCGCCCGTCCGCGGGCCTCCCCGCGCGCCTGGTGCCCGGGTGCCCGCAGGCCGCCAGCCGCACCGCGCCGGCCCGGGTTGCGGGTTGAGCGTCGGTGGAGGAGCCCGCGGCGGGACAGCCCAGGAGGCCGAGCGACCCGGCCCGGCCCGGCGCGGAGCGAGGATGGGGCGCGGCCTGGTCCAGCCCGACGCGGCGCGGCCTGAGGGCTGCAGGGGCAAGGGCGCAGGGTGGCCAGGGCCCAGACGCATGCGGGAGGAGGTGGCCTGGGGCCGCGTCTGGGCAGATCAGCCCGAGGCTCTGCTTCCTGCCTGGGGCCACGTTCACCCTTTCACCCTCCTGGGCCGGGCCCTACCTGGTTCTCCACCGGGGCCGGGAGGTCCTGCGTCGCCGGCGTCCCCCTTCTCGCCTGCAGGGGAGAGGCAGCTCAAGTCCCCGGGCCCGCGGGCGCTGGCCGGGGCAGCCCAGGCCCTGCTGTCGTGGGGTCCCGGGGCCCCCTGCTTGGAGCACTGGCTGCATGGGCCGCGGGGTCATCAAAAGAGCTTCCTGTGGGTTCTGGGAAGTTCCAGGTGCTGCTGGGCCACCGTGGGGCTCGGGCCCTGAGCCCTCGCCCCCGGGTGGGGTCTCCGGAGTACCCTCCGATGCCCACCCGGCAGAGGCTGGGGAGGACGCGGTCGGCAGGGGGCAGTGTCCAGCTGAGGGGCGGCCTGGGCGCGGCGGGCCTGGGGGACACGGCCATTGGGCGCTGGGGAGACGGCCGTGGGGGCCTGCGATCCCGCTCGGACCCCGGCCCGCAGGGCTCTGCTTAGAGCCAGAATCGCGGCAGGGAGCTGCCGAGCGCCTCTGAAATCAGACGGGAGTGTTTATGCCCGAGCCCCAGGAATAATCCCGAAGCGCATCTCCCCGCAGGGGCGGTGGAGGGGCGGCTCCATGCAGCCATGTCCTGTGTTCGCCTGTCCACGCCGGGGCGTGGCGCCGGCAGGGAAGTGCGGCCCGGAGGACAGTCTCAGGGAGGCCCATCGCAGCCAGAGCCCCGCAGGTCTCCCTGGCGGCAGCACTTTGCGCCCACACCCCTCCCTGCACGCACTGGCCTGTCCACCCCAGAGCCGCAGCAGCACCGGCCCTCCGCACCAGACTGTCCAGCCTCAGCGGGAGGCCGTGCACTCTGCCAGGAGGCGAAGGGACTTGAGGACACTGAGGCACTGAGATGCCAGTCAGGGCAGAGGGCTACGCTCCCGCGATCCCATTTTCAGGAAGAGCTGCACGGGGTCCGCGTGGAATGCGAGCGGACACGCCGGGGGACCCCTGGGGGCTGGACACAGGCCACAGCAGAGACCCCGTGCCAGCAACTCCACGCCGCCAAAGCCTCTTAGACAGCGTGAGAACGGCCAGTTTTATGTCCCCAGCGTCTTTCTGCAATGTCCCTTGAGCACCCCCTTCCCTCTCGGCCCTGCTCGTCTGCAGATGAGCGACCCCCAGCAGCTGCCCCACCGGCCAGGACGCAGGTACTGCAGAGTGAGCAGAGCACCCGCTGGGGCCAAGGGCCCCTCCTGCGGAAGCCACGGGGTGGGGAGGGGCCTGTGGCCGCCTAACTTGCTTGCAGCTCAGGCCACCAGCAGGTCGGGACGCCCCAGACCTGGCCCCTGTGTGGGCAGACACAGCACCCTCCCGAGCCCCCGCCACGGCCCCCTGCTAGGGCCACGGCGGATGGGGGAGACCCCTGGGACGACTCCCCGGGGCCACTGCCCTCTTCACCCCGGTGCCCTTCCTGGGAGTCCAGCGAGGGCCTGGGGCAAGCCAGAAAGCTTTCTGCTGGGGCCAGAGAGCATCTGTCCAGCAGGGGCCGGCGAGGGCAGAACTGTGGGCTGAGGCAGGCCCACCTGCCGGCCCGTCTCCAGCTCTCCGCCCCTCCTGGTGGCTAGGGCAGGGTGCCCCGGGGAGCCACCCCCATGCCTGCTGCGCCCGGGCCGCCCCCTCCTGAGAACCCCAAGTCTCCCCGGTGCCCAGGAGCTGAGCTGGGCAGACAGCCCTGCGCCCGGCGACTTGTTGGCCCCAAGTGCAGCCGCGGACGCGCATCAAGCACACGGAATAAGAGCCGGCAAGGCCTTGGGGCCTGGGCAGCGGTGGCGAGTACCTTTGGAGCCGATGGGGCCTATCTTCCCGTGGCGGCCCACGCTGCCCTTCTGCCCTTTGTCACCCGAGTCGCCTGCAGGACAAAGAGAGGGTGGTGGGCCAATGCACAGGGTCCACCTGGCCCGTCGCACTCGCGCGCACGCACCCGCACCTACGTGCACAGATACACACACCTACATACATACACACGCCTGTGTGTGCCCTACACACTGCACTGCACCCACGACAAGGTATGCACAGGTGTGTGCACCCAGGCTACATGCATACGCAGGTGTGTGTCCCCCTGCAGGTGTGTGCACTGCACATGTGTGCAGGTGTGTGTGTGGCACCCATATGCATACATGAACAGATTGTGGGTGTCTGCTGTGTACACATAACTTGCACACAAGTGTGTGTGCATGCACCTGTGTGGACATGCACGCCCGTGTGCTTACATGTGTGTGCATGGCGTATGCAGGTCTGCACTTGCCTGCTTGTGGGCCACAGAACCCCGCGTCTGCATCCGTGTAAGTGGCTGAATGTGAGAACCCCATGTACTGGGACTGCAGAGCCGGTGGGCACCGCCCACCACCCCACCTGCCCCCAGCACCTCCGGCCAGCCGCTCCTCGTCCCGTCCCTGTGTGCAGGGAGGAAGCAAGCAGCCCGCCCCGGACAGTCCACGGCGGGTCACTCAGCCGATTTAACTCGCAGACGTTTCTTGGAAACTAGCCCTGGGCAGAAAGGCAGGGGGGCGGCAAGCCCAGCGGCTGTCAGAGGGGTCTGAGGGGAGCCGGCCACCCCCAGGGGCTCCCTGTGCCCCGGGGCGGGGCAGCTCTGCAGACAGGCCTGGCCCGCTCGTGTGCTGGGGAGATGCATCTGCTGGGGCGGCGGGAGGGGAGGGGCTGCGCGACCGCTCCTGGGGTGACAGGGGCGCCCGCCCCTCAGCGCCCGCGGGACCGCCCGCCCGGGAGCTCCGATTAATTTTAACGGCGAGATCACTCGGTGCTTTGCAGCGGGGCCGGGGCAGGAAGAGCCGCCGGAACTCGGCCTCCTCAGAGACTCCGAGCGGCAGCTCAGCGCGGGCTCGGCCCAAGCCCCGCACCCGGCCGGCCACCCCACAGCGCGGGTCCGTGGGGAGACACACCCGGGCCCCCGCCGGCCGGGCCCCCCTGCTGCTGGCAGCAGGCCGGGGCCCCGCGGCCCTCTCCGCGGTCCCAGAAAAGGCAAACTGTGGGCACGGGCGCGCAGCCGCGGGGTGCCCCGACTCCACACCCGGCCCTGCGCTCGACCCCGAGGCTGCAGACGGACCCCCAGGCCCCACCCCACACCCCACTGCGTGCCGCCGCTGCTGTAGGGCCTGCGGCCCGTTCTCTCCTCCACCCAAACCTCCTCCGCTGGCGCCCAGTTCCCGCCCGGGGCTCACGCAGACCCGGCGGCGCGTCCTGTGGGTGGACGCCCCAGGGTGCAGCCACCCCCACCGGGGAAGGGGCCAGGAGCCCTTGCTCCACCGCCGCCTCTCCCGAGTCCTGGCCCCACTCGCCGGCAGCAAAGAGCCCCCTGGCCCCACAGCGCGTCACCGGTTCAGGGAGCATGGGGGGGCGCAGTGTGGACCCGCAGTGTAGACCCGCGTTGCAGACCTGCAGTGTGGGCCCGCGGTGCGGAGGCACAGCATAAGCCCGGCCTGGAGCCCCGCTGCTGGGCGCGAGCCGCTGTCAGCCAGGCCGCTGGCCGAGGGGGCGGGGCGGGGCGGCAGGGCTGTCCTGGGCTCGCCTGGAACCCCATGCACCCGCCCTCGCTCGCGCGCCCCACAGCACACCTGCCCCTCACTCGCGGGCTCCCAACCACACACCCCCCCTTGCGCGTGCTCACACTCCCCGACCGCACACCGCCCCTCCCCGCACACTCCACGGCTGCCCCTGAGGGCGTCACACTCACCACAGCCCCACTGGCAGAGGAGGGAGGCCTGCGGCGCTGGCCTCGGCCTCGCAGGGGTCACCCCACACACGCACTCCAGGTCTCTGGGTCAGGACCTGGGCGCCCGGTCCTGGGGTCTCCACAGGGACGCCCCGCCCCCACCCGCCCCACCCGCCCCACCCCCACCCCGCAGGGCGCTGGGCAGACCTGGGCAGCGGGTACCTTTCTCTCCCGTGGGGCCCACTCTTCCCGGCCGGCCGGGCGCGCCCTTGTCTCCCTTCTCTCCAGCATCCCCTGCGGAGAAGTCACAGGTCGGGGCTGTCGGGGCGGCCGCTCCCCGCCCCTGACCCACGGGCCCTTCCCCAGCCTGTCCGCAGGCCCCGCCCCGCCCTCCACCACGTGGCCCTCGCCAAGAGCCCTCTGGGCTGGCCTGTCCCTCGATGTCCAACTGGGGAAACTGAGGCAGGCTGACCTGAGGTTGGCCGACGGTTGTTGACTCTGCCGAGACCCCCGAGCGGGCCTGGCTGTGGCTCAGGCGGCCCTGCAGCAACCCCCACCCCCCGCGCAGGGCGGGCTCACCTTTGAGGCCGGGCACGAGGATCTGCAGGGAGCAGGCGTCCTCGGGCGTCTGCTGAGGACGCGCGGGCAGGAGCAGCGACAGCACGGCCAGGCCGGCAAGCAGCTGAGCCCTCTTCATGGTGAGTGCAGGCCGGACATGGGCTCCTGTGCGAGGGGCCACGGCAGTAACCAGACCCGACATGGGCACCGGGCAGCCCGGCCCTCCCCAAGCTCACGCCCGGTCCCTCAATTTAAACCTCCACCGTGAGTTTCACGGCCAGTCCAGACCCCTGGGCCGGCGGGCGGAGCCTCTGGAGCAGGCAGGAGCAGAGGTCAGGACAGGCACCGCCTGCGCAGCAGCAGGCCCGGGTGCCTGGAAGGGGCGTCCCCACGGAGGAGGGGACCTGAGGGGCCCTGGGAGCTGCGGGGGGGACGCAGGGAGCCGGCTGCTTAGCCCTTGGTCCATGTCCACAGGAAATGCCCAGCTGTACCCAGGCACGGAGGGCAGCATGACGGGCCTCAGGAAGGGCTGCTGCCCAGGTCTCCCGAGAGCCACCTGGACCTGAGGGGGCCTCTGGTGGGCTCGGTGGCTCCGGGGGACACCCCGGCCCTCTGTCCCCGTGTCAGAGCTTGAGAAGCCCCCAGCCTGAGGGAGAGAAAGCCGCGTGCATGGGGAGAGGCCCCAGAATCCAGGGTCCAGGGTCCCCCGCCTTAACCTCTGTCTGTGGCCGCCGGCCCCTCGGCCCTGAAGAAGGCCCACGCAGCAGCGGGCAGGCCAAGCTCTGCCTTGGACTGGGCGTCCCGATCTCGGGCTGGGGAAGCGGGCACAGCCCTGGGGGCCCTGGTGCTGGGGCCAGGCTGGCACCGCCCACGCAGAGGGCGCGGGGGCAGTGGCCTGGCTACACGTCCTTTAAACCAAAGTGTGGGGATGGCTGCAGACCTTCGCCCCTGCTGTCCATTTAACAGGCAGGACACCGCGGGTCCCCATCTGCAGAGCGGCCCCCCCAGGGCTGCGCAGGAAGTGCAGGTGAGCACCAGGGGCCCCATGCGGCGTCCGGCCCATGTCTGAGGACAGCGGTGCGTTGGCTGACCAGGGGCCAGACCCCGGCCACAGCGTCCCCTGCGTCACCGCCTCCTCGTCGTGCGTGGGCCTGTTGGGGGGCTCCCTGGAGGGGGACGCAGCCTGGACGTTGCGGCTGGCCCCAGCCTGGAATCCCTAACCGCAGGGCACCACGGCGTCTCGCAGGCCAGTCAGCCGCTCCCGCCCGGTAGCTGATGCGTCGCTCTCGGGACCCAGCCCACTCTGTGCTGGCGCCGGTGGGCTCGGGCCAGCGGACACCCGCTCCATGGCACTGCGGATGGAGCCGGACCCTGCGTGCCACAGCTGACAAGGAGGGTGCTCCCGCTGGACAGCATTGCCCGGCCTGGCCGAGGGGCACTCTGGCTGCCCTCGGAGAAGCTGAGCTCAAGGGCAGCCTCAGGGCCAGGCTCCACCTCCCAGAAAGGAGGTGGGCAGGGAGGGGGCGCCTGGGGCCAGGCCCTTCACGCATCCCCACCCGCACGCGCTGCTCCCCTGCATCTCCTCGCGGGGGCTGCTGGCCTGCTGGGGGCGGGGGTGGGCAGGCAGGCTCCGGGAGCCTCCCCCGGCTCTGGCTCCTTCCTGGCCGCTTACAGGAGGAATTTTGTTTTATAAACGCGAGGGCCAGGCTGACCTCTGCGGGCCAGCGTCCTTATCTCCCAGCTCCCGCCGCCCCGGCCACAACTGCGGTCATGAGGCCCTTTGCAGGCCAGGGAGGACCTCACTGGAGTTCTCGGTGGGACCAGGTCTGAGCGGAGGAGACAGCACCGAAAAGGTGGCGCCACTGAGACGCGAGCGAGCAGGTGTCGCGCATTTCCACTCTGACCCGAAGGCCCGGCCAGAGGGAGCTCCACCGGGTTTGCTCCAGCGACACCCATGGGCCCAGCCAACGCTCACGTTGTTCTTAGTGTTTTCTGACCCCGAGAGGCCTTCCCTCGCTCTCCAGTTGCAAGCAGGCCACCCCGAAATGCTCTGTGTGGTGTAAAGAGTCTCAAGCCTGTCAGTGGTGTGGGGTGGCATCCCGCCGTGGAGGCTTGGCCAGCCAGGGGCTGCGAGGCCGCCCTCGGCTCAGACCCGGCCTTCCGTGAGCAGGAGGCGCCCCAGCCCGGCCCGGCCCGGCCCCACACCCAGTCTCTGGGTGCAAGATGGCGGCCGCCCTTGAAAGGGGCCTCGAGTCCCCCCATGATCCCGAGCCGCCCCCACGCCTGGTCCTTGCTGTAGCCCCGTGGACAGGCCACGCTGACCCCCAGCCCGCGCAGCAGCACGTCCTGGGAGCCAGGAAGGAAGCGCTCGGCCCTTCCACTGTGCACCGTCTGTCCAGGAACAGGCCAGGCCTCCTCCCTGCCGGGCTCCTCGGGGGAAGCCGACCCTTGGGGCTCAGGCCTGACTGCTGACCACGTCCTCTGGGCAGGGACCCAAGAGTCCCCCCCCCCACCCGCCTCAGCACCCTCCTGCCGGCCCCTGCAGACCAGCATCCCTACCTGAGGTGCAGGCTGGGCGCAGGGCGTCCTGACCGCGGGGGCCTGGAGGACACTGCGCCTGCCCGGGCCCCCATGGCTGTATTTACAGCGCGCCGGCCACAGAGGCCAGCGCGGGGCTGCTGGCTGCCCAGCAAATCGGCAGGCGGCTCTTATCTCGGCAGCTTCCTGTCTGAGGCTCATCGTGGTCCTGCTGCAGGAAGAGGGTCGGGGACCAGGGGGACGCAGCGCTCGGGGGGGCCGGCCTCGGGGTCCCCAGCTCTCAGCCCTCACCCAGGCCAGGCGCCTTTTTCGCCTTCCTGCTTTTCAATTTTCTTTTTCTTTTTTGAGAATCTAAGCATACCGCGTGACGGCGTCCACTGGCGCCCGGCGGGCTGAAGGAAACACAGCGGACAGCCCCCTGCCCTTCTCCACCTGGGCCTCACCCCGCCCCAGCCCCTCATGGGGCCCCGGCTGGCCGCGCTGCCGTCTCCCTAAACGCTGCGTGAGCCGGCACCTCCTGGGGCCACGGCCGACACTGACTGTGGAGTCAGGGCCAGAGTGGGGGGCTGGGCCTCCGGCCTCTGGGCCGCTGGCTCTGAGGGTGAGTCCACCCAAGGCCCGGGGAGGGAGCACCGGCCAGCACCGCGAGTGCCAACAGCTGCGGCCAGCCCCGGGGACACGCGGGCAAAGCCCCCACGGTGACTCGGCTGGGACAGGAGGCGCGGGGGTGCGGGCAGGCCGAGCTGGGCCACAGCCGCCAGGGGCGCTGACCGGGAGGCCACACGTCCCGTCGGCTGACGCAGAGAAGCATTTGACAAAATTCAACACTTTCACGATTTAAAAAACTCCCAGAAAGACGGGCTGGAGCGGTGTGTCCCCAGCTTGGCGAAGACCGTCTGCTCTTTGAAGAGCTGACATGCACCTCGCACTGGGCGGAAAGATGGGGCGTCCTCCTCGGAGCAGGGCCAGCCAGGCCGTCCGCCCGCACCCTCTCACCCACCCCGGCACCGAAGGCAGCAGGCTGGAGGCAAACACAGAGCCCCGGGGCGCTGGCGCCCACAAGCCAAGGGGCCGACGTGGGGCCACTTCTGTTTCAGCTGCTGTGACTGACGCTGCCTGGACGGGCGGCTCGGACCTGTGTGAAGCTTTCCCTGCTCTGGCGGGAGCCCAGGACGGAGCCGCTGCCCCGCTCCCGCCACGGCCCCTGCCCGAGGCTGCAAGGTCCCGCCTTCTAGCCAGCTTCCTCCCCGCAGCTGGCGTTTTCCCCAAAGGACAGCAGAATGACTTACAATTTAGCAAATTCCATGGCAAATCATGTAAAGCAGCCATTTGTTGACGGCATTCGAAACACCGCCTGCGGCTCCCCGGAGGCCTGGGGGTTCAGTCTCAGGCTCTCACCACTGTGGCCTGAGTCCATCCCGGCCAGGGAGCTGCCCACAGGGTGCAGCAGACCTCTCCTGTTCTGCTCCCCACTCTGTCCCTGGGGAGTCCTCCACCCCCCCCAACTCTGGCCTGCACCCCAGCTCTTTTACACAAAAATAAATTAAAAAAAAAATTTAGGGGCCTCCCTGGTGGCACAGGGGGTTGAGTGCAGTGCTGTGAAGCTGTCTGCAGCCTCTGTTCTATCCCCGGCCAGGGAGCTACCCACAGGGCGCCACAGACCCCTCCTGTCTCCCCGCTGCTCCCCTCGGCAGTGTATTCCGGTCAGCCTGCCTGTTCTGCTCCCCGCTCTCTCTGGTGAATTCTCCCACCCCCCACACCTCTGGCCTGTGTCCCAGCTCTTGTCTGCGTAAATAAATAAATCTTTAAAAAAAATTTTTAAGTTGGTTTATTTAAAAAAAAAAAAAAAAAGGCCACCTGAGAAGCAGCGCCCCGCGAAGCCAGGCAGCTGACTGACCCCGCCCCGTCGCTGGCAGGAACCACAGTTCGTGAACAGAAACCGAAGGGCACCGAGACCGGGAGAGCACGATGGGAACGGACGCAGCGGCCACCCCTCCGCACCCCGCGCTCCCCGAAGTACTTCTCCCAGCCGAGTCAAGGGCCGCGGGGTCCTGGAGCCGTGTCCTCCACCCACACCGCCCCCGCGTTCACCGGCCCCTGAGCCTTGCCGGGCCCGGGCGTCCTCGGGCGGCGGAAGGCCAGGTCCTCGCTGGGCCTCCTCGGCTGCGGCCTCGACGCCCCCGGCCAGTGCTACGCAGAGCAGCCTCCCCCGAAGGCCACACCATCCTCCGCCGGAACCTGCGGGCAGGCGGCCACAGACAGTCGCCTTCAACCCAGAACAACCCGGGGACTCAGCTCAGTCCCACGCCCCTGGGGACATGAGGCGGAGTTCTGGGGGTGACCCCAGGAGGGCACCCTGCAGGGAAGGGGGGCTGCTGAGCGCTGTGTGACAACAGCCCCCCAAGAGTGGCCAGGCCCCGCGTCCATCGTGCTGAGGGGACCCCTCTTCAACGCGGCACCCCTGGCTGCCCCGACGCCTTCAGCCGGACGGGGGCAGACACCGCATTTGGGTTTGGGTTGCCCTGGGCCTGGCGAAGGGCGGCACCTGCAGGGGGAGGGGAATGCAGCACCAGGGCTCGCCCCCGGGCTTTACCCTAGGGCCGAGAGCCGGGCGCTCGGGCACGGATGCCGTAAATGCCCATGCAGGGGAGATCATTGGGCAGAGGGAGGCCAGGAGACAACACAGGAGCGGGGAGAGGGAGGGAGGGGGAGCCCATCACAGGGCCCTGGGCTCGGTGCCACCCGCCTCCCGCCCCGGCCTGTCTCCTGCGGCTGCTCTGCCCGAGTGCGGCGCCCTGATTCAGCCTTGGAGGCGTCACAGACCCCTAGGGCCCGACCGTCTCTTTTCATCGGCCGGCATCCGCGAGGAGCCTGCCCGGCTGAGGTGGCTGCAAGCAGTGGGCTCTCGCCCAGTCCTGGGCAGGCAGCACGGCCCCACGCGGGCGCTGGGATGAAGCGGGTGGGGTGTCTGTCCGGCGGGGCGAGACGGTCACCTCCCCGAAGCCCCACTTGCTCCCTCCCTCGGCCTCGCCGACACCGTGAAGGCTTGGCATGGGACTGGCCTTTGCCGTCGTGAACGCAAACTCCCGCGGTGGCCGGCCTGGGGGTCGGGGCGAGAGCTGGCCGGCCTCCGTCACTGTTTACATTTCTCAGAGATAACCGAGAAGTCTGGGGACCGGGCCAGACAGGCCGGTCGGTCTCTGGATGGGAACTTTCCCTGGAGGCCACTGACCCAGGACTCTTTGTCCACAAGGCCATTCACCGGGCTGCCCCCTCCAGCCTGAAGGCCTCCTTTTCCCAGAGTCCCTGCGAGCCAGGGCCGGGCCGCCTTCCCTTGGCGCGGGGCGCCTACCCCCACCTCTCCAGGCGCACAGGAGCCCCTCCCGGGCTGGAGACCAGGCCTCGTGGGCACCTGTGCCTGGGGACTTCCGCAAACCGGCCCCACCCAGAGGTGACGGGGCACCTGGTTCCTCTTTGAAGTGCAGGAGCAGGGAGTGAGGGTGGAGGGGTGAGGCCGGCAGGGGCGAGCTGGCACCAGCCAGACCAGCGCAGCGCACGGCCCTGCAGCTCCGGGGGCGTCTTTGTTCCACAGCATCTTGGAAAAATTGTTTACCCCAAAGAATATTCTATGGGGGCCTCCCTGGTGGCGCAGGAGGTGAAGCACCGCACTATGAAGCTGTCCGCAGCCTCTGCAGCACGAGTTCCATCCCCGGCCAGGGAGCTGCCCACAGGGCGCAGCAGACTCTCCTGTCTCCCGCTGCTCCCCTCAGCAGTGTGTGCGCACCTGGGCCCGGAAGCGGGGCTGCGAGGCCGTGTCACAGAGGACGGACGGGAGAGCGGCTCTGAGTGCAGAGCCCAAGCTGCTGCTCTCCCCGCGCACCCTCAGACCTGTGGGCACTTTGCTGAGGGCCCCCAGTTCTCTTAAGCTTTTGGAACTGACAGAACTGAACACCCCCCAGCAGCCCACAGGTGGTGGGGTCGCAGCCACCGGCCACTCCTGAAAGTTCAACTACTGTGGGTACGGGACACGACAAGGCGGCAGCATCACCTTACAGGTGAGCAACAGGCCGAGGCAGACGTGCCAGGAGCAGGGGCTCAAGGACAGCGCGGGCAGCCTTGACGGGCGTGGGAGAGGGACCGCAGAGGCACAAGGGAAAGCAGGGGGAGCGGAGGGATGGGCTCTAGAGCTCCGCAGAGAAAGGGGCAGAGCAGAGGGGTGAGGCAGAGGCCCACCCTGGGTGCCTGCCAAGGGCGGCCTTCTCACCAGCCCAGCGCCCAGGCCTCCCCACTCACTCCACCAGGCCCTCTGGCAGGGCCCTCCAGCTGCGGGAGCCTCAGGGTGGGGCGCAGGGTGTGGTGAGCTGAACCTGGGCCTGGGGCTGCCTCCCGCACTGTGGCCGCCGCTCCACCCCAGCCAACAGGACAGGTGGACGACCCTCTCAAGGTCCAAGAATCCCTGAGAGCCACTCGGCACAACCGGAGTCCACTTCGGGCTCCTGCCCCACTGTCCAGCCCGGTGAGGGCCCGACTGCTCCCGGCGCTGACTTTTCACCTCAGGTGGCATTTGTGCTGCAGGACGGGGGAGCAACAGGGTCCTGCTCTCGCGCTGGACTTGCCAGAGGCAGTTGGGTGGAAGGCGTGGCTCAGGGGCTGGGCCTGGGGCTACCAGATCCAGGTTCTGGACCCCTGGCTGACCCGTCTTAGAAACGGCTGAGGCAGCTTTCACGTTTATAGTAAAAACCCAGTGAAGTCAACGGCTCCTCGCCAGGCCTCGCGCTGGGGAAAGCGCCGTTTCTACCAGGAACCCCTGCAGCCTGTGCCGGGCTCCTCCTGAGCCGTCCCGTGCAGAGTGGCTTCCCGGGGCCGGGAGCGGGCGGAGGCCTGGGGTCCCCGGGCTCCTGGAGCCGCGTCCTCAGGTGCAGGCGCCACCGCCCGGCCCTCGGACACCGAGCACGTGCCTCACAGGTCCGACTTGCCGGCACAAGCTACAGCTCTGGGCTCAAAATGCTCCGGCCTCGGCAGGAAGCCCCCGGAGACGCAGACAGCTGTGTCCACACCGCCCGAGTTTTGAAAAACGTGCCCAAACCAGAA